CGACCAGAGCCTCAATAACTCTAGTCATCCAAGGTTCCCTCTCCTGCCTTACCCTTCAGTGTAACAGGAATATGCTGACCCTGAACCCTCATTAACTCACATTTGAAAGCCTCCTACTTGTCAGATGTCTCTTTGCCTGCAAACAAGCCTCCCCAGGCAACTTTCGAAAGTTTCTGTCTCAGACAATCAAAATTGGCCTTGCCCCAATTTAGAACTCGAACTTGTGGACCAGACCTATTCTTCTAATGGAATTATGGTCGCTGGTCCCAAAGTGCTCCCCCCACTAACACTTCCATCACTTGCCCTGCCTTATTTCCTAAGGAGGTCAAGTTTTGCCCCTCTTTCAGTCGGGTCATTTACACACTGTGTGAGAAATTCTTCTTGAACACATTAAAAAAATTTCTAACTATTCAAACCCTTAACACTATGGCAGTCCCAGTTGATTGTTAGGAAAGTTAAAATCCCCTATTATTTTTGCAGCTATCTGATTTCCTTACATATTTGCTTCTCAATCTCCTGACTTTTGAGGACCTAAAGTACAACGCTATCCAAGTGATCTCTCCTTTTTATTTGAGTTCTACCCGTACAGACTCAGTGGACTACCCCTTTTCTGAATTGGGAACAAAAGAGCTTTTTCCTTTCATGTTCAAAGGCCAATGAGTTTCAGGCTACATTAAATGGAGGAACTCCAGATTCTAATGTGATGCTTGGTTTCAGTTTCCCAACTGCAAATCCTCTGTAATACTTTCGAAGTCTCTCGTCTTCATGGAGTCATACAGCACAGAAACAGATCTTTCGGTCCAACCAGTACACATCAACGATAATCCTAAACTAAACTAGTCCCGCCTACCTGTGCTTGACCTATACCTCTCCAAACATTTCTTATTTATATACGTGTCTAAATGTCTTAACATTTTAATTGTACTCCCATCCACCACTTCCTCTGGCAGTTCATTCCACACATGAACCACTCTGTGTACAAAAAGAAACCCTCATGCCTTCTTTTAATCTTTCTCCTCCCCTTAAAAATATGCCCCTGGCCTTGAAATCCCTTAGGGGAAAGACACCTGCCATTCACACTCTCTCTATACCCCTCATGATTTTATAAACCTCTTTATAACGTCACCTCTCAACCTCCTACGCTGCAGTTTAAAAAAAGTCCCAGCCTATCTGGCCTCTCCCCATGATTTAAATCCTCCATTCCTGGCAACATCCCAGTAATTCTCCTCTGAATGTTCTCTAGCTTAGTATCCCTCCTATAACAGGGTGACCAGAACTGGACCTGATACTCCAGAAGAGGCCTCACCAATGTCCTGTACATCCTCAACATAATATCCCAACTCCTATACTCAAAAGTCTGTGCAATGAAAGGACAAGTGTGCTAAACACCTCCTTAACCACCCTATCTATATGTGATGCAAACTTCGAAAGAATTATGTTTCTGAACCCCTAAGTCCCTCTATTCTACAACACTTTTTTAACTGTATTAGTCCTGTCCTTGTTTGTTTTCCCAAAATGCAATACCTCGCAGTTATCCTGTTAAACTCTGTCGACCACACTTCAGCCCATTGGTCCAATTGATCAAGGTATCTTTGTAATCTTAGATAACCTTCTTCACTGTCACCAATCTTGGTGTCATCTGCAAACTCACTAACCATGGCTTCTATATTCTCATGTAAATCAATTATATAAATGAGAGGGAAAAGTGGACCCAGCATCAATCCCTGTGGAATGCTGCTGGTCACAGGCCTCCAATCTGAAAAGCAACCTTCCAACATCACTGTCCCCTGCTGTTAAGCCAATGTCATGTCCAATTGACAAGCTCACCCTCAATCCTATGTGATCTAACTTTACTAATTAGTTACCATGTGGAACATTGTCAAATTTAACTGTTTACTTGGATTGCAGTAAACAATGTCTACCACTCTGCCCTCATCAATCTTTTTGGTTACTTCCTCAAAAAACCTAAGTCTATTTCCCTCTCACAGAGCCATGCTGACTATCCCTAATCATTCCTTGCCTTTCCAAATGCATGCGTATCCTATCTTTCGGAATCACTTCCAACAATTTGCCCACGCTGAAGTGAGAGGGAGAAGAGAACTGGATAGGTGTTTGAGTCAGGCTGACTCCAGAGACCTTTCTCACCGTTGCTCTATTTTTGGTTTCCCCCCGCCCCCACCACCATTGGTTAAGGATGAGAGTACTGAGCCTGCCCTGTTCCAGGCCTGGCTGGTTTCATACTGCAATTTTTGTGGAGTCGGACCTTTTTGTCAATCACGTGCAGTTCATCGCTCCTCGGATGAGTCATGAACCACAGACTGGGTTCAGGAAACTTTTGAAAGATACGTTTAAGAAGTTTTAGCAATACCCCATCCTTGAATCCTATACTATCTTTTTGTACATATACATCTATGTACTATAGTACAGAACCAATGAAGTGCAGAATGATGCCAAGTTTGAAATGCTGATTAGGAACAAAAATACCCATTAGCCATCGGTTCTGATTAAACAAATGCTGCTCACTCAACCCTATGATGCACTTTGGCTTCATCTTAAAATCCTTATCCGTAGTATTTTATTGTCCTTCTTTGGCCTTGCCTTTATAGCCGTCTCTGTCACCCCCTCCAGACCTACAAATTTGTGATATATGTATTCCTCCAGACTGCAAATTTGGTCTATTCCCTATTTCCCCCTGTGGTATTAGTACCTGTGTTTTCAGCTGTGTAGGCCCCAAAATCTTTAAGTCACTTACTGTTTAAGATCCTCCTAAGCTACCTCTTTTTGATCAAGTTGTTAATCAACCTGTCCTCATGTCCTGTAGTTGTTTCAGTTTTTCTCTGATTCTGCCGCTGTGAAGCACTAGTTTACACTTGTACTCTAGAGGTGATGAGTAATTCTGAAATCATTCTTTCAGCATGAGTGGAGACAGCTTCCAAATTGGCTACCTTTCTACTGTCCTAAGATGTTGACAGTTGTAATTTGAGTGAAGGTTCTGATCCCCTGCATTACCAGGGCATCTGTTTGAGTGCCCTGTGTAGTTGTGTGCATTGGACTTCTAAACATCTTCTGGTTTGGACAAATATTGACTAATTTTGAAATAAAGCTGTTCTAGCTAAGTGATGTTTGAGAACTTAAGTTTTGAAATATCACCTACGCCCTCACCTTCTGACAAGGGGGTAAATTGGGGCAGGACTGAGACACTTAATGGTAAGGTCCTGATGAATGTTGCCAAACAAAGAGACCTTGAGGTGCAGGTTCACAGTTCCTTTGAAAGTTGAGTCACAGGTAGACAGGGTAGTGAAGGTGAGATAACAAGGTGTAGAGCTGGATGAACACAGCAGGCCAAGCAGCATCAGAGGAGCAGGAAAGCTGACATTTCGGGTCTGGACCCTTCACTTGCCTTTTATTGGTCAGTGCGTGGAGTTTAGAAGTTGGGAGGTCATGTTGCAGCTGTACAAGACATTGGTTAGGCCACTGTTGGAATACTGCATGCAATTCTGTTCTCTCTGCTATGGTAGAAATGTTGTTAAACTTGAAATGGTTCAGAGTATTTATAAGGATGTTGCCAGGGTTAGAGGGTTTGAGGCGAGAGGCAAGAGGCTGGGGCTATTTTCCCTGGAGTGTCGAACGCTGAAGCGTGAGCTTTACAAAAGTTGATAAAATCATGAAGGGCATGGATAGGGTGAACTTCCAAGGTCTTTCCCGTCTCACCCTAAACCTATGCCCTCTAGTTCTGGACTGCCCCCAACCCAGGGAAAAGATTTAGAAGGACCTAACTGGCAACTTTTTCACGCAGTGGGTGGTGCATGTATGGAATGAGCTGCCAGAGGAAGTGGTGGAGGCTGGTACCATTACAAATTTAAAAGGCATCTGGATGGTACATGAATAGGAAGGGTTTAGAGGGATATGGGACAAGATTAATTTAGGATATCTGGTTGGCATGGATGAGTTGGACCGAAGGGTCTGATTTCGTGCTGCACATTTCTACAACTGACTGTTTGGAAGGAGGCTGTGCCTCTTGGTCACACAATGGCTACACATCCCTTGTACCTGTTTTGAAGTGCTCTAATCTCAAGTGCCTCAAATTGAAATGATTGCAACAAGAGTCTCCTCCTATCATTATCATTGTAATTTATCATTGAAACCCTGTAACCCTTCCTTCTCATGATCGATTCTGAGAGTCCAGCTTCCCTTTTAAATACATTTAAACTCAAATGCATTTCAGAATTCACATGCCACACGTCAAAAGTGGAGCTTGGGGTGGGCTTAGGTTGGCAGGGAGACAGGGGATGGGAAAATTCCTGGTGTCCTGTTCAAGATTCATCCTTCAGTGACCCTATGCATGCCACCACAGCAAGTTCTTGCACATGACACTATGACTGTCTAAACAAAACAATGAGCCAAAGTGTTTTGGGATTTCTGCTGTTATGGAAGGTGCAATATAAATGCATATTCATTCTTAGTAAACTTGTGTTACTCATGTAAAGTTGGGGGCAGACCAGCAGAAGAGAGGTGGAGAGGATATTCAGAAACCCATGCAGAAGACACTGTAGGGGAAAGCTGTCCTTTTAAATATGCCTGGTTTGAGGAGTAGCACACTGGATTTGACCTGCACTTTCAAATGAGGAAGAAAAGGGTGAAAATCTGTATTGCTGACAATTATGTATATCAAAGAGGGGCTATTTGGGCCAACTTGCTATCTATTTCGGTTCATCCTGTAATGGATTTTCATGCCCTAAAACCTTCAAGAGCTACATTTGTTCTATTCCTATCTTTTTAACTTGATAACTAAGCCCCGTTTAAAATATTCAACTGTTTTCTACTTCAGCTTAATTGCAGAAAGTGAGACCAAGACACATTTTGCACTGTTGTAGTGTTTGCAATGAAAGTAATCATCTGATTGTTCCACCAAATGTTTTGCTTCTGTTGTCAGAAGTTAGCAGATTGAATTCAAGTGGATTCGGCCCCGAATAACCATATACTGTATGTGTGTGTTCTAGGTATCTCTTTAACTGTGGAGAGGGGACTCAGCGACTGATGCAGGAGCACAAGTAAGGATGTCTCTGTTCTTGGTGCAGAAACAAATCATTCTGGGGATGTGTGCACCTTTTTGTAAAATGTTTTCAATCTCATTTTCAGGCTGAAGATTTCTCGTCTTGACAATATTTTTGTGACAAGGATGAGTTGGTCCAATGTTGGAGGATTATCTGGTAGGAAAATGGATTGAATGTAGAATTTGAGCCAATTTTTTTTCTTTTAGAAAGGGAAAGGTTTAATGCATAATTGAGTTGAGAATCTAACCACTCAAACGTTTCCAGAATTCTTGTACCAGAAAACTGGAATGATCTGAACTGCAAGGTCATATTGGGTAAATTGTGGTGTTGTATCAGGATTAAATGTGAAGGTCTTTTGGTTGCATGAGGGATTTGGCAGGTGGATGGGTGAAGGGTTTGTTATGTTTGAGGTCTGTGGATGATTTCTAATTTATTTTAGACAGCCCCAGTTACCTTGTAGGGAAGAGGCCCTGTTAGGAGAATGTCAGGAATTGGGGAACAAAACTTTTTTAAAGACATAACCTCAAGGGTTATAGTCTGTAATAATAAAGGGTTGAGAGACACCAACCGTGATGAAATGACGGATTGGACTCTGGTGCAAATGGCCTAATTCTCCTATATCTGATGGCCTTGAGTAGCTCTTTACAAGTAAGTAGCTAGATTGGGCTATTTTGGAAGAGTTGAGTAAATTGATGTTGCTTTTCAGATTGGTTATGTTAAGGCTAGGAAAAGATTGCAGCTCCTTTCTGCCAAAAAGACTAACTCTGTCCTGTTCTTCAGGCATGATTCTAACGTTAAAGGACACAGGCGTTTCCAAGTGCGTGTTCTCTGGACCTCCACAGTTTGTAAGTACAAAGGAGATTGTGCATCAGCTGTGTTACAGGCCCATGACGTGTTTAATATACAATCTGACATTCTTCACTCGTAGCTCTTGTACAGACAAGGAAAATAAATAGTTTGCTGAAAGTTTCTGTTGTTCCTCTAATGCATGTTGATCTGCTCATTCACCCTGAGATATAGTTAATAACCCAACCTTGTGACATTCCTTCAAGTGTTATTCAGCCTTGCCTTCTGTTAACATCCACCCCAGTCTTGCTGGGCATTTCTGGCTGCCTCTGTTTTTGAATGCCGGCCGTTCATTTGTTATCTTGCTGTTTGTTGTTATCTTGCAACCCGTTTTATCAAGTTCCACCATGTATATCATAAGATCTTCTCTTCCTTGTGTCTCCGCTTGGCTTTCATGCAACCTCTTGGTGATATCATCTAGAAGGGGGTTTCAGATTAACCTTGCTTATCTCCTTTGTTCATCCCTAGTTGTTCTGTCTCCAATTGGTGTATCTAATGTTGAATGCATAAAAAATCTCAATGTCAATTAGATCCAAACTGTTTTCCAGCCTGTCAGAACCATCTGAAAACATTTAGATGTCTCCTGGTTTCTTCCATCTTCTGTCTGACTAATGATTTATAGTGTAGAGCTGACTGCATGTTTTCATTTCTTCTTGATGTTAAGTGGGCTGCCTTGTGCTCTTTAACCCATCATTCCTTATTCCAAAGGGGCCTATCCCTGACTTGTCCACTGTAAACGATTCAGTTTGCTGCTCTGGTCACGTTTTGTGACCTCTGCATTTGAATTAGGGGCAACTTGAGCTGTCTTTTGAGACTTAAGAATGAGATATTGAAATAAATATAAAAAATAAAAATGAAAAAAAATAAAGCTGTTCTCTTCTGATAAGATCTGAAGGGATACCTGAGATCTAAAGGGGCAATGAAACTAGTGTTGGATATATTAACTCATGATTTTTTTGGGTGTGAATTGACTGTATAAATGAGGAACTCATCCTAAGGGAGTGTGGGGTGAGATCTATGAAGTGTAGTGGATTGAAATGGTGCTGTGACTAAATTTGTGGACATTGGACTTTTTTCACATAATCTTTCGTTGAAACCAAAATGCTGGAAATCACAGCCGGTCAGGCAGCATCTGGAGAGAGAGAACAAGCTAACGTTTTGAGTCTAGATGACTCTCACTGGTTTGAATTATATGACAATTCATACAATCTTAAGATGCAATTAAGTACTTTCGAAGTGTGGTCATTGTTGCAGTGTACAGGCTGTAATTTGGCTCAAAGTCCCCTCAAACTGCAATGTGACAGTGAGCGAATAATCTCATTTTTGTGTGATTCCGGTTGAGGGGAGCATATTTGCCCGAGTTGGGAGATCTTCCTGTTTGTCGTCATTTTTAAATAATGACAAGGGAACTTTATACCCACCTGAAGGAAGGCGGTCTCAGATTCTCAAATCGTCTGAACAGTGATTTGAGGGAATGTTTCTCCTCATGCTGGAAACTAAATGAGTGAGCACCTTTTCAAAATATGGGATATCCTATTCAAGGTAGAGGTGAAGAATTTCCTTAGTGGTTAATCTTTGGAACTCATTAACTCAGCAGTGAAGGCTGCATCAATGAATGTATTCAAGGCTGGGTCAGACAGATTTTTGACTTATGAGGGAATTGATGATTGTGTGTCTATGTTGGGTGGGATGGGGAGGCGGGTGTGGAAATTAGTGTATACACTAAATGATAGGGCATACTCCAGTGGTTGAATAGTCTACTCTTACCACATTCTTTAAAATAGCGCTCCAAACTGTGCGATATTCCCTCAAGGCACTGGATGCTCAGCCTAACTCATGTTCTCGGGTACATGAAGCCACAGCCTTGTGCCTGTGTCTACTGAGCCATAGCTAATGACAATTGGGGCGTTTCTATGAAGACCTCAGTATTGTCGGGAAAACCAGTTTCCTGCTTTACCAGCATGATGTGGAGGTGCTGGTGTTGGACTGGGGTGGACAAGATCAGAAGTCACACAACACCAGGTTATAATCCAACAGGTTTAATTTGAAATCACAAGCTTTTGGAGTGCTACTCCTTCGGGCGAAGTGAAGAGAAGCACATGGGCACAGAATTTGTAGGTAGAGGGATCAAAAGATTGCCCAAATTTGTGAATGGAGTGTTGACAGTGAATAACAAGTCTCTGCAGGTGATCAAAAGTGTCAGATGGTGTGAGTAAAGTGTTAACAGCTGAATAGCAAGTGAGGGGATCACCTATGATCTGATTAATTGAGGCTCAGTGATAGTGACAAAAAATTGCAAATAAGATGTGTTACCACCAGTTTAATGCAGGAACTCCCTTTGCCTCATGTATCATCTGAACAGATACAAACCTGCCTGACCTTTTTTAAAAAAAAAAAAAAAATTCAGTCTATTAAATGGGGATCATTTTCTATATTAACAGTGATAGAGGCCATGCTGTTGATTTTTAATGAAGCATTGGACTATTGCATAGCCAAAAGAAGTGGCATTCTAATCTTGCTCATAATGTAATGGGGCAGTTGAGGCCTGGACTGTACATGTTCAGAATCAGTCCTTTTGAGTTGTTGAGCAGAGCTTTATTTTTGGTTTTAAATTGGCAAAATCGATTTTTAGCTGGTAGTCCGGTCTTAAAAAATGAAAAATGCAACTTTGTAAGTTATCAATTATACTAGCTATAATAAAAATGATCAAGGTTTCAATATTGCAAATTGCTTGGGCTACTGAGTTCACGTCTCATGTATTAATTAACCAACTAACACCAGTTTTTAAATTTATCTTTGACAGGATAAATTCTTGACTGCAATCAGGTCATTCTCTGGGCCACTACAAGGACTAGATTTGGGTAAGACTTGTGAATTTATGATTATAACCAACAATAGTGTACGTGAGTTAATCTCTTCAATAAATTATTGAATGTGCTCCTTTCTTGCCAGCTGTTCGCCCGTATACCCACCCAGAATACACTGATGATACTATGACAGTGCATCAGGTGCCCATATTTGGTAAGTATTATTTTCCTGTTCCACCTTTTTATCTGGCTTTCTATTTGTAATGAAAGTAGATTTTGTTTCTTACTGGTCTCTTCAGATCTGGATAACCTGGGCTGCTCTTTCAGGGGAAGAGGTTTGGAATTTACTGGCTCCTGACAATACAGAGCAAAATCGCATAAACAGCAAGTCAAAAATGACCCTGTTTCCCCAGCTCAGAATTTCTCCTTTTAAGAAGTTGTGAAAAAGTCATTGTACGCATTGGAAATCTTCTTCAAAAGGCTTTCTAGAAATCTCATGACTGCTAATTCTGCTGCAAACCCATGTTGGGGCCATTTCAGTAGTGACTGGAATGAGCATGCTCTGGGGACTGGAATTAGTTAGGGGAATAAGAAGCTTGTGAGGCAGAGTTGTCCAGCTGACCTCTTCTGTTTCTGACATGAACTTCCTTTTTGAGTCTGGGATAAGATGGATTTGCTCTGAAGAGTGATTGAACAATATGTTTCCTGAGCAGGATGTGGCTGCCAAAACACCAGAGACGACTGTGCATTAATTGATTTGCCTGACACATCAGAGTGACAATCTTTGGAACAAACTGCACCTTTTGCTTTTTTGCCTTCAAAAATAACACTAACAGCCAGGAAATCCTTTTTTCTTTTTTATTGCTAAAGCGAGTTTCTATAGTGTGAACCAAGTTTAATTTCTTGAAGTGCATGTGTTTGGAAATATTTAGGGAAATAAGCATTTATACTTCCACAATACTGACTGTCTACTAGCTTTTGCATCTTCCCCCTCTTTCCTGTTATTGATAGTGATAATTGTGTTTATTAAAAGAACTCAGTTGATTGGCTTTAATTAAAGCCAGGTATAAATGGTATATTTAATTTGCCATCTTGGTATCTCATTGTTAGTTCTTTGTTATGACAGAATTTGAATATTGCTTTGACAATTTTTTTTTTCCAAAGTCTTCTGTCCAGCACTTAGGACAATTTGCAAGAATATGAATAAGGAGAAAAAACATTTGTACTGGGAGGAATGTGCTGATTGGTTCGCAGCTGGTGTTTGGAAATGTTGGAAAAACTGCCAGGCTTGTTAATATTTCAAACCACATAGGTTGATCCACATTAGTCAAGGCTTTGCCCTTCATAATGAGCAAGCGAATAGTTATTGTCTGTTTCAACCCTTTTATCAATTTTCTGGCCCGTCTATTGTATGCTCTTAGCTTTCTAGAAAGGGCAGAGGAAAGAGATGATTGAATAAACCCTTGCAATAGTTCCCAGTGGGGAAGCACCCAGTGCATTTCTTGCAACTGAGGACCGTGATGGCATGAGTTAAACAAGCCTGTTGTCTAGACAAGGTAGATGCAAGAAGAATATTACCAATGGCTGGTGAGTCCAGAACCAGGGTTCACAGGCTAAGGATCCAAGGTAAAACCATTTAGAACTGAGATGACACATTCCTTCACTGTGTTAAGCCTGTGAAACTTGCTGCGAAAAGTGGATTTCCTGAGGGAGTTGTAAATAGCTCTTGGACCCAAGGAGATCAAACAATATGAAGGTACAGGAACAAAACTAAGTTGGTGTTAGGGTTCAAAAGTGGGTTTGGGGTGTTTTTTGAATAAAACTGAGTTAAGTGATGTTAATTAACAAGTTCATTGGTATATATTAAGCAGTGATAAATATACTACGTGGTAAATTAATATATTGAGATGAAAATATGTGCATTAAGCAGTAAATGTGTGTGGATATAAAACAGTAACCTACTTTCAATATATTAGAAACACATGCAAACTAATGAGTGCTGAAACTAGACGTGTTCACCAATGAGCCTCACTGCCCCCTGCCCATCAGGGAGCCCAATTTACAGCAGCTGGTCTGGAGAACACGGGGCTCCTGGCACTGTTGGCAATCACCGTCCAAGGTTAAGTGCCCTGATCAGGGCCAAGTCCCAGATTATTCTTATTCATCTGAACCGAAACATGCCGAATCATCATTCCATGGTACTTTGAGTATTTTCCCGGACACTGCGTTATGCAGCAAAACAGGTGGCTCTGTTTGACATTCAAACAGGGCAATTTTCACAAATCACATGGCCATTCCTCAGTCAAAAGAAGCTGCTTCCACATTCGGCCTGTTTCCCTTACACTTTTCCAGTTCATTCAGTTGCTCATTGTCATGTCCAATTAACCCTTAATGGTCTGCTTTGAAGATATCACTTTTAATCCTGTGACTGCAGTTCGATGATCAGCCATGATCATAATGAATGTTGGAACACTCAAAGAGTCAAATAGCTGCCTCCCTACGTATGTCTCATCAAACTTGATGTGCTGTCAGGTTGGCAACTTTATTCATTAAACTTACAGTTTAGACTCTATACAATTCACAAACTGCTTCCCATTTCTCAAAGAGAAAAACTACAATATAACTGGGTTATAAAAGTCTCAATTTGCTCTATGACAATTTGGGATAGGGGTGACAAATATTCAGCATTCTAACCTTATCCGGAACTTGTGTAAGTGCTGAATTTTTTTTTTAGTGTCTTAATAATGGCCTCTAGACCAGAAAACAACAAATCAAACAGCAATGTGTTGTGGAGGTATCTTTTTTTATTCATTCATGAAATGACTGTGTCACTGGCTAGGCAGTATTTATTGCCCAGAGGACAGTTAAGAGTCAACCACATTACTGTGGGTCTGAAGTGATATGTAGTGCCAGACCAGGTAAGGATGGCAGTTTCCTTCCCTGAAGGACATTAGTGAACCAGATGGGTTTTTCCTGACAATCAGCAATGGATTCATGGACATCATTAGATTCTTAATTCCATATAGTTATTGAATTCAAATTCCCTGGGTCCCCAGAACGTTATCCAGTGATAATGCCACGAGGCCATTGCCTCCCCCTTGGGGAATTGTGGGTGCAGGACTAGTGTGTGTCTCTATTCACTTAACTGTGTAACTTTGAATTGTTCTTTATATGCAGCCAATTTGGATTCAGAGGGCAGAGGAACAGAAAGTGCGAATTTGTCGCTTGGTAAAGCCAGCACTGACCAGCCCTACTCTACAAAATCCACAGAGCAGCTACTGGAGGGTGGTGAGGCTGGTCTATCAAAAAAACAGAATGAAAAACCAGGTAAAAGTCACCATGGAATCTAATAAAGTACATCACCTCCCCATGGTTATGTTACATTTTATTTTGTTTACTTGCTCGAGTGGTAGTTGATTTGTGGGTGATCGTGAGCTGGAACCTTTATGCCGAGCAGCGTTGAGAGAAGTTTGTTGCTTTCCTTAAGTATTTTATCTTTTTTAATAATAATTTATTGTTTGGTCATGTAGAACTTGTATTGCTGGTGCCAGCCATTTTCTAGTGCATTTCTCAGGACATTGCCTTAACAAATCAGAGTCCTTTGGCCTTTATAAATTTAAGGAAATCTTAGCAGTGAACAAATGAGGACGCATTTAGATGCTCTTAGTTTGTGGGATGATCTTGGTGTGTGTTGAGCAAGTGAAAAGTGGGAGAGGTTAGATGCTGTCCTGTTTTTTTTTCCTGAAATCTTTGCTAATAATCTTTTGCCCTTTTTTTTTTCTAGAGAGAAGCCCAAAATCAGCAACAAGGGATCCTTCCCTTGTGGTGGCTTTTGTCTGCAAGGTAGGTGTTTACCCAGCATTCCCACTGGAACAGATAGAAGTGTTTTTTAAAAAAAAAAAAAAAAAATCACGAACCATTTTGGTAGGATAAAGGTGATCAGTGGCGGTTTTCTGTGCCCATTTTCTGGTGACCGGATCTGACTAAACCCCATTCAAAGGCATCAAGGAGATAGCCTAGACCCTAACTTTTATCTTGCTGAAAGGCAAGTGTAAGGTGTAGTTTCTTTTCATTCTTCGAGGGACAAAAAGGGATTGTGCAGACAGAACAGTTTTCACTGTTTTGATATCCCTAGGTATATTGACATCGAATCATTTAGATGTAATTCAATTGGTTACACTACTTGGATTTACAAATTTATTCTTACCCCCAGTTAAAATGCAAACAAAAGTGTTAACTCTGTTCGAAAACTTAACAGAATAGTAGATTATTTAACTCCTAAAGGGGTATCTATTCAAATATAGTAACATCCCATAAACGCATCCTTGGTGTAGGTGCTGCCAGAGCCACATCTGAGACAGGGAACCCAAGGTTTTCAGCTGTAACAGAGATGTATAGCTGTTTCCACCATGGAGTTCAAAACCCCAATAACTATTGGAAAGCTAAGCTAAAACGCTGTCCCCAATTTGTGCAGTTTCTATTGTTCTAGCTGTGTTTTTTTTTAAATACCCAAGGCCCTTCAAAAACCTGTTTATTTTATTGGCTTGGAAAAGACAACTTGACATCTATGGCTAAAAGCTAGCCCCCTCCCCCCACCCCAAAAAATAGAAAATACACCTCTTGCAGCCATAGTATTGTTGCAGTAGGATAAAGGCAACTCCTGGGGCATTTCCAGTAATCAATAGTACTAGAACAGTGATGCGTAAGTGACATTTTCTCTGCAGCAAGTTCTTACAGTCTGAGGTGCACTGCCTGACAGAGCGCTGTACACAGGTACAATAATTTCTTTCAAAAGAAAGCTTGGAACCGTGTGACGGTTGGCTGGGAAACAATTGAGGGAAGGAAAGGAACAGGTTTGAATGGAGAGGTTCTTTTGTTGAGCCAGCATAGGCACTGTGGGCTGAATGGCTTCCTGTGCTATATTATTCCGAGGACTGCGACAATCGGGCTTTGAAAGTCAAATGGCCTACTCACTGGTTTCTATCAAGGTGATTCATTTCAAGCCCAGACAATCCTTTTTACTGAGCTGTTCTAATTAAACGATGTTCATTTGCAGCTTCATCCAAAGAAAGGAAACTTCCTTGTCATGAAGGCAAAGGAACTTGGTCTGCCAGTGTAAGTAGCAGCATTCTGATCCTTGTCTATTGAACCTCTGAAGTTGGAGGGAAGAAATTGCCATCAATATTGGCAATTAAACCTGAATGGAAATGTGAGCTACAACTATTGGAGATGGGTTTTTTGAGGTGGGACCCACTTTCCACTAACCTACTGATTTGAAAGTAGGGGTGCAAATTAATATAGCACTTCATCACAGCAGACAGGAATAACTTTATTTTCTTGCGCAAGAGCGATCATCAGATTTAACTTCCCAATAGTGTCTCTGCAACATTAACTAGAGGCTGTTTACATCTAGTTTTCGTTTAATATGGCCACGCATGGTCTGAATGCTGTTTACATAAATTCCTTAACTATTGCTTAATAGTGATCCTTAAAAGTAAATTTTGCATCTTTTCGAAACCATGTTCAGCAATCCTATCATGGTTGATTTTTGTTGACTGACTGGAGAATCCACAGGAGGGAGACTGTGTGTAAACCAGGCACACAGGTTTGCAGATCTAGAATGAAGTCCATGTCACTAGACTGTCGAATATCTGGGCCCCCCTCTCTCTCTAGCTCTCAGCAAGATGCCATCTTCTCACTGCCCTGTGAAAGTAAGTCATTAACTGCCCTTATACAGTTTTGTATTCTCATGTCATTGTTAGATTTTCAGAGGTATGAGGGCACAAAAAAATTCACTAACATTCAGTTTTGAATTCAAGATTTTAGCTCCTTGTTTACCTGCCAATAATTTTACTGACTCCTTTTACAGTATTTGGGAGGCTATGCATTTATTCTTTCTCCCCCCCCCATGCTTTTTGTGTTTCAGGGGAACATCTGCTATTGGTCCAATTGTGGCTGCTTTGAAAGATGGAAAAAGTGTAACGTTTGAAGGCAGGGAGGTTTGTTATTTCTTCAGACTTTACCTGTGAGTTGGATTCGTGAATGTGGTTTATGTGGTACTTGTGCAGCTGTATTGCAAATTATGGTAAAGCTGCCAGCAACATTGAAGAAGTCTGCTGCCTGTAATTGTCACTATTTTAACTTTTCTTAGTATTCCAGTAAAAAGCACTTAAATAACAAATGGCTGTCTTTTTCTAGCTTTTGTTTGTGCTAAATTCATTAGGGGACAGTGCAAGTTACATAAATGCAAATTAATTCATTCAATTTTAGTTGGTTTGGGAATACAGATTTTTGGTATCTTGAATGTTAATGCATGTGTAAAGTCATCAATCTTTTAAAATTGATGGAAGCAGGAAATCTGTGGAGCAAAACAGTAATGGCATTCTTCATTGGTATAGTTTGGACAGCCTAACGCTTAGAAAGTGTGCTGAGGAGTTTGAGAGAGTGGTTGTCATTTAGAATGGCTGTATGGACCACTGTGTTGCTGTTCTCTTTTTTTTAAACAGCTTTTGTCGGTGAGTTCAACTTGACCAGGGTCTGAATAATTTCAAGCTCCTTGTGCTTTTTAAACAAGTCATCAAATTATGTTCCGAGGTGGGGTCACAGGACCTGAAAAGTTAACTCTCTGATTTCTCTTCACAGATACTGCTAGAGCTGCTGAGCTTCTCCAGCAATCTCTATTTATGTTTCTAATGAACAACCTCAGCAGTTCTTGTGGTTTCCATCAAATTATGTGCCTGTTGGAGCCAAACTTGCTTTAAAACATTCAATGGCGCTCTTAAACAAACCTTTATGGAGAAACGACTAATAATTTGAGATCTGGATGTTTGTCTTGCCTCTTTTTGGTTGTTTTTACTTCTGTTGTTGTTTTCTTTGGAGATTCTGGTTTTGTAATCAAGAGGGTGCCAGAGAATGGTGACTTTGTGCACTTATTACTGTACTCATGTACACAGTACGCCTGTTCGTCAGTGCATGTGAGAATAAAAATCTAATTCTACATATCTAAAGTTCCATCTGCTTCAGATGTCACAACATCTGAATAGATATTTTAAGACCCAACAGAAGTACATACTTATCTGATCCTGATCATGGAGGGATTGCAACAATTTTCCACTTAATTTTCTCCTTCCTAAGTCTGCTAGGCATGAGTTCTGCATTCCTAAGGTACAATTAATCCACATTTAAATACTTGATAGACCTTTACTTGACCTGTTATTTCTCATTATGTTGTTAGAAATGCACATTTGACTGGTTTTGTGCTACTTCGAAGGCATGCAAGTAATGTTTGATGCTTAAGTCCCATTTATCCTACTTTGCAGATCCACCCTGATGATGTGTGTACACCTACTGATCCAGGGCCCACATTTGTTGTGTTGGAATGTCCCAGTAAAGAATTTATTGGGCCCGTGTGTAAGAACGAACAACTCCGCAGGTGAGTGGATTGTCATTATTTTCTTAAAATAATTGTTAGTTGCGTTGGAAATCTCTTTTGGAGAAGATGAGTCCAAGCGTGAATCCCTGAGGATTCTTCTACTCCCCTAAGTGATAGTGAAAGCTATAGCTTTCCAACCCAGATGATGACGAGTGAGCATACATGCGTTTCTCTCTGGTCTTTTGGACCCATTATTCATCATTTCCTTACGAAAGGGTGAGTGGGCAGATCGTTCCCTGTCCTTTACCATTGTAACCTTGTTTTCTTGATTTGCCTTGGTAGTTTCTGACACATGTCTCTTGAAGCATCATACATAATGGTTGTCTTTTCAATTTGCAGGTGTTTAGGGCTAAAACATAAAGCTGTGCCTTACTAAAGAAGTACTATGAAGAAACTGAACAATGTACTTTTAATCTTGTGTCCTCTGACGTTTTTATTAATGTTTTTTTTTATTGCAGGTATCAAACTGGAGGATCTGAAAGCCCTGCTGCATTAGTTGTCCACATGACTCCTGAGTCTGTTTTGGAAAACAATGTTTATAAATCATGGATGGGGAGGTAATTGAATCTATGTTGGCTTAACTTTACTGCTCTGTGTGGATGAAGGACTAGTTATTATTCAACAAAGAAATAAGAACAGGCAAAGCAAATATTGCCCTAGGTGACTTCTGGGATTGCATTCTTCTCATTTGTACTGATGGTTATACTAGACAAGACCATACGAGGGAAAATCAGAAAAGCATAAAGTCAGCTTTGCTGTCAGATCCCACAGTGAATCCTCACTTCAAGGATTAAGTTTTTTTTTTTTTTTTTTTTTTTTTCTTTCCGCAATCTGGCATCTGGCAGCCTTGTGCAAATGTGTTCAATGTGCTTTTTACAAAAGAACATGGGTTCTTTATACAAAAGGGAAAATAACAAACAATTTGGAAAGATTTTCCCTTTAAACAGCAAAATAAAAATGTAATTTTCTTTCCCTCCCAATGGTATTCTTTAATGACACTCCACTCCAGTGACGTACATCTGTTTTAACTGACGAATTTCTTCTTCAACTGAGAAGGTTGTGAGCATCTGTTTTCAGACTTTCTGCACATTGACCAGATTTTATTATATTCTCAATTGAGGTGGGCAGATGCAGACTAATTTGCTGACCTTTTCTCCCCAAACTGAACTTTTTAAAAAGCCCTATCTAGTAAAGTTGTCTCAGCAGTTTTACTTCATTCAAGCTCTGATGGCCTGGAGACTACCAGAAACTGACATTTTTCGGATGTGAATCGTTTATTTCCCAACTGAATCGAATTGTGACCCTGGCCATCTGTTTCTTTCCCCATTTGGTCATAAGACTCAAACCCACTTCTTCTCTTAGCACCCCCCCCCCCCCCCCAGATATTTTTGTAGTCATTTACATTGTGCTGCATGTTTTTTTTGAAATACTTTTTTTTACCTTTTTTGAATGTTTATCTTCACAGAATTAAAACTAAATACCTGTTTACTTCTAGAATCTAAAATCCCAAATGTTGTTCTAAACATTTCATCACCTTAGTAAATTTCAATCGTAGAATCCCTACAATGTGGAAATAGGTCCTTTTGGCTCAACAAGTCCACACCGACCCTCGGATCATTCCACCCAGACCCAGAAAGATTCCACGCTTCCCCACCCCTCACCCACCGCAACCCACCAAATCTACACCGCTGAACACTACGGGTAATTTAGCCTGGCCAATCCACCTTAACCTGCGCACCTCTGGACTGGGAGGAAACCAGAGCACCCGGAGGAAACCCACGCAGACACGTGGAGAACGTGCAAACTCCAAACAGACAGTCGCCCAAGGCTGGAATCGAACCAGGGTCCCTGGTGCTGTGAGGCTGCAGTGCTAACTATTGTTCTTTGGTAATGGTCAGCAGCTGTGAATCCTAAACTGCTGCAATATGTCTGTCTGTAATAGACTGTGTATAATATTTCCAATATGTGATAGAGCTCAGCATATGTTATGTTGTGCAGTATTCTGTTACATTTGATAACAGTTCAATAAATATTGTTATCAATTTTTTTTTAAAAAACCTTCAATAGTATTTATCTTTACAGATTTTTCTCAATGTTTGAGCTGTCGATCAGATTGAGATTTGGGAACATCCTGCTGGGATAATTATATGGAAAACAGCCAAGCACTAACAATGACATAACGATAGCCCTTCAGTAAAATCAATGACTGTTGTAATTGCTAGACCACTTTTAGTTTAAAAACCCTTCACTAGTGCAGGCAAGCAGATTACTTTGGCTACTATTTTTAAACAAAGATGAGTATTTATGTAACTCTATACTTGACCAACCCACAGACCTCCTTTAGCCTTCATGACCAGTTATTTCTACTCTTCCAGGTTAAAAGACTATCTATTTGACTTTGGGTTAAGGTTCTTGTTCTTGTTGCAGTGGCTCATTGAAATGAGCCCTGGGTTTTCCCGGACGTTTTACCCCTACGATCAAAAGTAAGATCTGCCCATAATTGAGGCATGTCTTCTGTATCCAAGCTCCCCTTTCTGATTTTTCTTAAAAGTCCATTGGGTCTTGATGGCAACTTAAAATCTGTACCCAAGTCATTTTCTCTATTACAGCTCTTTAGATGTCTGAACAGATTTAGCCTGAATTTGATACATGCTAGTCTTGGGTCTTGTTGCGTTTTAAGTGTAGTGATGTGTGCTGCTTTGTCTTAGTTGTTTTATTCTCCCTCTCCCATCCTTTTTCTCCCTCACAGGTTTGGACCGACCACACAACACCTGATCCTCAATGAACACAACCAATCTGTCCATAACCTACGCAGCCACAAGATCCAGACCCAACTCCACCTGATTCACCCAGAGATCTTCCCTTTGCTGCAAACCTTTCGGATCAAGGTACCAATGCCTTTCGAGGTCTGAGGCTTGGGAATTGTAGGCGGGGGGAAGAATGAATATTTAATGGCCTGAACCATGTCTTTGAGACTGACCGTAAGAGGGTGTTTTTCAAAGAAGGGAGGGGTGGTCACCACTGAGCTACTTGCCTCCTTTTTGTTTTTGTTTTTCAGTTTTGCTTTATAGCAGCAGCCATTGTATGTTCCATAATGTACTAGGAAATTATGAAGTATTTAGTGATTATTCACTGTAGAGTGTTGGCTGGGATGAGAGTCTGTTTCCCTCATGATTTTCTTCAGTAATCCCCACTTAAAGTCCCTCCTTAAAACCGATTTAAAGGTTGTTTGCTTTTTGGGTCTGGGATGCTAGCCTGGGGCAGCAGTCTACCTAGTTACGAAAATGTTACCGGGTAAAGGAGGAGAATATAATGGCACCGGAGGCATGCCCACGTCGTGATATTGATGGGAGTGGTACTGGGTCAGTATTTCTCCCCCCACCCCCATGCTAAAGAGGGACTTTTTAAAAAAAGTGCATTATTATGGACCAGACAGAGCCCCATTCAGATATATCAAGGGGATAGCCTAGACCCTAAATTTTGCCTTATTTAAAGGCAAGCGTAAGGTTCTGTCTTCAATGTAATTTGTTTGATCGTGTTGCTTGGCTTTAAGCAAAATGCACTTTATTCTTATCCAACAGTTAAAATACAAAGAAAAAGAATTGGAATGGCTTTAACTCTATTGGAAAACTTAACTGAATAATAGATTATTTAACGAAACAGCAACTGTTCTATTACATTATCCCATAAACACACCCTTGGCAAAGACAAATTCTGTAAAATAGATTATATCTTGTGATGTTTCTCCAGTCCAGGAGAAAAGAACACCGAGAAAATTCTGGCAGAGACATGAAACAGCTTCCTCAACAAACTTGAAAACCCCAACTACTGAGAGCTAAGGTCCTGGTTCTGTGGGAGCCTGACTCTACCCTTTCATGTTGCTTCTATTGTTCTAACTACTTTTTTAAAATAAAATGCTTAAAGGCCTGTCAAGCTGTTTACTTTATCGGCTTGGAAGAGACAACCTGACACCTCCCTCCAGTCTGGAAATCTCTTCAAAAAAGGACAAAATATACCTCAATGCCATAGTATCATCACAACATAATTAGCAATGGAGCAAATGTGCAATTTAAACTACTGGCACTCTTTCGGAGGTCTTACTTTAGTTGTATCTGAATCAATCTTTTACATTTTCTACAAATGTCTTTTTTATTAAATACGCAAGCTGATGTGTTTACAATAATGTTGACATTGACCAGAGTTAGTGCTACTGAGCTCACCATGCCAGTTGAGAGTTCTTTAAAATTCTCATGAGGAAAGCACAATGTTCATGCTTAAGTTTCAATTCCACAGCGTTTTCACTCTTAGACTCAGTGCTTTTTAAAAAAAAAAAAAAAAAAAAAAAAAAAATCTCATAACGTTTGGAAGCTAGTTAGCATTCAGTTGGGTATAATTGGATGTCAGGTTGGCCTACTATTATAGTGTGGGAATAAATTAGAATTTCACTGAATTTTGCCCTTTAATCTGATTCAATGAATAGCAATAATTCGCCACCTTTTGGTTTCAGGAAGAGCCAGCCTCTCTCAATATGCCAATTGTTCGAGGTGAATGTTTGCTAAAGTATCAGCTGAGGCCTAGATTTGAATGGCAAAGGTCAGTTCACGTAAGTTAGACTTTTTTTTTCAGTTGTGGTCATTTTCTGAGACTGAGGCAAGATGAGCTGAACAAAATAAGCTAATGTGTGGTCTCTGAAAACTGAGCTCTCTGTCCTCCTGTAAGGTTATTGTTTGTATGCTTTTCTGTGCCTGTGTGGTATCAAAAAAAAATTTTTTTTTTTTTTTTTTTTTTTTTTTTTTTGCTTTGACATTTAGCTGGGTTCATGCATGCATATTACAAATGAAACAAATCCTAACTTAGGGGTCACAAATGTAAGAGTCTTCAATGAATCCATAAGGGAATTAAGGAGACACTTGGCCAAAAATGTGGTTAAGATGTGGAAGTATGACAGCAATGATAAGCAGAGACAAATACTAGAGTAGGTAACAAGGCATATGAGGGTGATTAAAAAGATCATGCTGATGGGGTTAGAAGAAGAATGCTGCCAGGAGATCCATTTGGAGCAGAAACACTGGTATAAATAAGTTGAATTGACAATTTCTAATAGTTTGTAGAGCAGAAATAAGCCATTTGAATTAGCTATATTGGCACACGCACTCATTTGAGTACAGTGACAAATTTACAAGTTGCCACTTACGGTGTCATTTTATATGCAAGTACCTAGGTACTGATTCTTCTTCTTGGGAAGAAAAATTAGAAAAATAAAGAAATTAAGTCCAGCATTACAGATTTTTGGAGTATATTAGAAAGTAGAGAAAGAAGTTCTGAACCACAGTCCTTCCAACCCTGCCCATGCTGGCACTTAGCCTCCAGATTACACCTGGGCTTCATCTCAAGGCTCTTGAGATGTGGAGTGCACTCTGGAATCATTTTGAGGCCAAACGTCCATGCTGGGGTGGGAGACAGTCGGGCTGGGAGGACACCTTGCTAGGTCCGCGCTGAGCTTAGAACATGCCAACAAGAAGGTTGGGGTGGTGGGGGGTGTGGGTGATGCGGTGGAAAAGAAATGGATGGAGTGAATGAGCTCAGGCTAAAGTGTCGTACTGTGCTGCCATCTTTGAAATGAACTTAGACCTTGCTGTCTCTTTGTTTGAACAACCTAAAGCTTGCAATGCTTGCCCTAGTTTATTTTGGTCATCCTGTATCATCTGCTTCAAAAGCTCAAATATGATCCAAGTTGATCTATCAGTTATAATGATTTATCAACCCAACGATAGCTGCTGTACAGGAGGTGGCTATTCGGAGCTTCCTGTGTGTGTCAGCTGTCTGCCTGAGCATCTCAAATAATCTCTCTAGCCCACCCTTTCTCTGTAGCTGTGGAATTCTTTTTTCCTCTTTAATTCTATTTTTCCAACAGTTGAATTCACTGTCGCCAAATGCAGGTGGTTCCTTCCAGATTTGAAACTGCATCTTGTGTGAAAAATGGTGCTTTTCTCTTGTTGTTGTGTATTTTCAAGCCATATGGTTCCTAACGGCAATGGTTTCTCCCTACCTGCTCTGTCTAGACCACTTAAGATATTCAAATTTCTCTTCATGGAGAAAGACCCTAGCTCCAATCCATGTGTAACTGAACCCATAGCCCATACAGCTATTCTTGTAAATCTTTTCTCTACCCTTCTGTGTTTCCTATCCTACCTGAAGTATTATTTTCAATATTCCAGTTGTGGCTGAACTAATGTTTTGTCGACATTCACCATTTGTGTGCTTTCATCTCAATTTATAAAGTTCGTTATTCCATATGACTTATTCAGCTACTTTGTCAACTGGCCTTACTGATTTTCTTTTTGACTGGTTGTTGGGTTTATCCTTGTATTGTGCCTTTGAGCGTTCAAGGTGTTCACCAGTGCTTTTCCAAGTCATGCAGCACTCAGGGTCTGTTTCAGCATAGACTTGATTCCAGAAGCTGCCATCTCGGATGTCTGTGCAGTGGCAAAATCAAAAAAAGTTGCCAGGAAAAGTAGCCTGGCACTGCCCGTGTATCTAAGGCAGATCGGAAGATGCCTCTAATTTCCTCCCTGATTTCCCTTTATCTTCAGCATCTGATCCAGCTCTGGTGGCTTATCAATGTTAAGTGCAGCTTGCCTTTCTGTTACCTTACCTTCTAACTTTCAGTCCATCAAATGTCTCATCCACCTTCTTTTGTACTAAATGGGGCAGCATTTCCTTGTGAAGACATTTTGTACCTCAGCCTTGTCCTCCACCTCCATCCATCTCCTTTCAGTCCTCCCGTCTCACTTTAGATACCTATTTTTACAGCTTGTGTTATGTAAGCCGCCAGTCTCTCCTTGTACTCAGGATTTCTGAGGAAATGTCACCAGACCTGAAACGTTAACTGATTTTTTTTTTTTTTTTTTTTTTTTTCTTTCTTTCTTCTTCACTGATGCCAGACCTGCTGAGCTATTCCAGCTACTTCTGTTTCTGTTCCTGACTTACAACATCCGCAGTTCTTTCGGTTTATCTTCTCGTACTTTAGCTTTTGTTTTTGTGCTTCACCTCTGGACTTTCTGTATTCAGCTTGTCCCTCAATTTTTATCACTTGTACATTTTTCATGTACCCTTATTTTCTATTTCATCTTTTTCAGCCTTATCTCAAGAGCTTGATCAGTTTGCCCCCCTCTCTCTCCTCATTTGAATCTATTTCTGCTGTAGCTATGCTCTTGTTCTGATGTGGTTTTACCTGCAAATCATTGATTTCTAATTTTAGTCAGGCCAGATCCATTCTTAATGTATTGAAATTATGCTTCTAATTTATTGTTCTTAGTTTAAATTACTCTTTGTCCTCTGTTTAATAGCTAATGCTAACTCAAACTTGTATATTTCTATGTCAAGGTGACTAAGAAGGGAATTTGCAGGTGATGGTGTTCCCATGTATCTGCTGCCCTTGTCCTTCTAGATGGAAGTGGGTGCATTTTGAATGATGCTGCCTAAGGATCCATATTGGATGCATCTCTGTCATTTAGATCAAATGTGATTTATATCCAAAAATAACAGCTGTTTGTGAAAATCTCCTAGCCTCTCGGACACACTGCAGGGACCTTCAGCTGCTGCTCACCCTTTGAAATCTGAAACTTGAACTACTCTAGTTGATGTCAATTCTTTTACTTCTGGGATCCTTCATTACCAGAAGCATACTGGAGCGTCAACAAATCAAAACATGCACTCCATGGGACTGAGATGTCCTGCCGTGTCTCTCTCGATTCAATTATTACACTAAACTTAAGACCTAAATACATTTTAATCCATGTGGAAACTCCATTATGAATTATGCTTTTACTACTAAGTTTACCTTAACAAAGTGTATCAATTATGTTCAGTATTGCATCACGTAGTGTACTATCCATCAGAAACCTGTTTGTTGAAGTTCTTGAAATTGTTTTAACTTTCTTCCTCTTACAGTGCTTTCATTTTGTACTAAAAACAATTAATCCCTTGATAAATTGATTTAATTCTATACAGAAACAATTTGGTCTCAATGATTTCCTGAAACAATGAAGGTGAAATAATCTATTAATCTATTTTCTATCCCCAGTTCAATGGCAGACTTTCTTTCCTGAAGACTGGCTCACAACTTGCATGAAGTTGTATAAAGCTAGATGTTTGCCACTTCTTTATGATGGATGTTATACGGAGCAATTTCTTACTCCATCCATGTGTTTATGTCTCACCCATATTTGTTGTGTTCTCCTCTTGCTCTTTAAAAGATTCCTGACAGCCAAAATTTAAAAGGTTCCATTAGACAGCCTCCCCAGTCGACTGATTGTCATTCTCCAAGTCAATTAAAACACGTGTGTAAATTTGTCTGATTTCTTCCAAGAATTTGAGTATCTTCACTCTTTATTGAAACTGACAAACAGTATGTCTATGGTTTCACAAGAACCATATGTACTTTGAGTGAAGAAAATTTAAAATCAAAATCTCAAGACTTGACAGACATGCACATCACAAAAGTTGAAACTACATTTTAAGAGGTTGACCTTTTGTCTGTGTCCATGGGTAGACAAAACTATTCTTGTCCTTAGATGTTTCTGGGTTATACATCCGCTGATAAGGTGCCAACATCTTGTAATGATGTCACTTGTATTGTTTAATTTTCTACATTCCTTCCTGCAGCTCTCATTTCTGGAGGTTTCCTGTGCTTTGAACTCGTATAAGTAGAATCTTGCTATTTCTGCTCTGTGAGGACGCAAAAATGAGAAACCAAATTATTGCTGCCCAATAGTAAACAGTCCTGCATTGTGATCCCAATGTTCAACCCCACAGGAATGGATCATGGAGGGTGGGGAGGGTTTAAACCTCAGTGTCATTGCTGCCACTTTAAACAGCGGTATAGTGCGGCCAACTTGCATTTAGTTTTAAACTTAAACAAGTACGTTAAAGACATTTCAAAGCTAGCCGTAGTAGACTCTGGGGCACAGAAGGCTGCTGCCAAAAAGGGAAACTTTGATTCCTGTAGCATTGTTCCATGCTAGAGTGGAGAGATGTTGTCTTGTCATTTTTGAACATTAACTGCAAGTTGTACTTTGTGCTATTTTCAGAGATGCTGTGGTTGCAGATGACACTGAAGAGTTCATTAAGGAAGCTACAGAAATTCCAGGCTTTTTGGAGAAAGTCGAAGAATGTAAAAACTTACTGTCAGTAGACCCTGTCACTTCATCAGGTAAACAACTGGGCTGAGCTGATTTTGTCAAAGAAATGGCTGGTTCTCAGAAGCTGCTGTGCTGTTATTGCCTTGGGTATATCTATACTGTGTTAGTAATCAAATGAATGGTCAACTTTCCCACTGTCATCAGTCTTTCTCAACTTGAGATTTAGGTAGCTTTTGTGTAAGCCTGAATCATTTTTGCTCCTCTTGACTGTAGTTGCAGTATTAAGAGGCACTTCTACCAATGTAAAGGAGGTGACCCTACAGTTTTTTTTGCTTCAACAGTAATTATTTTGGGTGTGGAACTGGCAGAGAAAAATACTGAATGCCCAAGGTGCCTCACTAAGCTGGCTACAGCCCATTCCCACAGGAACTTGCCCATTTCCCCTACACGTGATTCTACAGCAGTTATCTCAGTCAAACTGTTCAGACATGTTATGGCACACCCTGAGGCTGCTGGTACTTGAACCTGGCACTCCTGAATCAGGGGTATGGTCACTATCGCTGCACCTCAAAGGCACCTTTTTATAGGGCTGCTCTCATCAAAGAGGAGACTAGTGATTGCTTAGCTTGAGGGTCACCATGCTAGTAGATAAGATGATTAACCTGTTCAAAGATGTTATGACCAACCTCCAGAGCAGTTGGACTTGAATCTCTGCCTCCTGGAAGAGAGGTATGGACACTACCACTGCACCACAAAAGCCCCCCCTTTGAAATAAGTTGGTTTTTTTTAAAATCCAGACTTGCTATTCCACGCAACCTGTGACATTTTTCACACTACCAATTCATCCATGGTACTTCCCACCTATTATCCACCCCCATTAATTAAATCTTCTGCGTTTTCCAATTAAATTATATACAATGCTGGGGGTGGTTGGAGAGAAAACAAAGATGATTCCATATCATGGTTAAATGTGAAGCAGCTGCAGTGGTTGGATTTTAATCTTCTTGTTACTCGCCAATATCACTAATTAGGTAACTCAAAGTAACAATCGTGTATTGCATTTCACAATATCTGTCATTTACATACCATAAAATCAAACTGTCAGGATTGTAGTGTTTGCATGCAGTGAGTCAGTTTCTTTGCCTTATGGTTTAATTGGCTGTCATATTTACTACCATCCTTTTTTTTTTCTTTTTTTTTAAATGCATACGTATTTTGTAACTCTTCACTTGCTAGTCAGTGATGTCTGATGGTAAAATATCCCTGGCTTGCATTCCCAGAGCAAGTGGACAGATACCCTGAGGTTGTTTTCCTTGGAACTGGATCTGCCATCCCAATGAAAATCCGAAATGTTAGCTCCATCATTCTAAACATCAGGTATGTCTCTTTTTTTTTTTCTTGCATCTGATGAACAGCAGCAATGGTGCAATGTTACAGGTGCAGAAGGGAACATTCAGTTGCAGTTGGACTTTTTTTAAAAAAAAAAAAAAAGTCCTAATTTGTGCTTTGATTTTAACTTTTTGCTGTCTTCCCTAATATCTCCTTGCTTGGCTCAGTGTCACGTTTTTGTTTCATAACCTTGCCTTTAGATATTTTGCTATGTTTGGTATAATCAAAATGCATGGTAAAGTTGCATTTATCTTTTTCTTAAATCAAAAATGCATAATTTGGAGCAAGTTTAAAACCAAGCCACTTTCTTCCCTTCGTGTGGCTTGAAGAAAGACAGTTGCTGCTGATCTTTTTGTTGCCAGCAGTGCAAAGTTTTTGTTTTTAAAATCCCCTTTCTCTATTTTCAGAGCTCTGCACTAGTCAGTGCTAGAACAGGAGCTTTGGTATTCTTTGCTAAGAATAATCAATAGTCTGATGAAATAGCCACCATTTTCTTCTGACCTCATTAGCACTCGAGTAGAATGTCAACAAACTTCTTCAAAACGGAAGAAAAGCAGTTCCCTCCTGGTACAAAAATCCTTTTGATTCTAAACTTCTTTAAAACTTTTGTTTAGCGCTACATGCTCGATATTATTAGATTGTGGTGAAGGCACTTTTGGACAGCTCTGTCGTCACTATGGCAACGATGTGGACGTGATCCTCTGTAACTTGTCAGCCATCTTTGTGTCGCACATGCACGCTGACCATCACACGGTGAATATTTTAATTTCCGATTTTTGCAATGTTTTGGTTAAACACTAGAAGTTATAGCCTGTTGGGGGTCAGCAATTATGGCCAGTTCTATGGTCGACTCATTCATTGTCTAAATATAACTGCTGTCAGTGATTTAGGGAAGCAATAGACAGGGCAGGAGTAGAAATATTTCATGGTGAAGATCAAAATTTTAAAGGAGTGAATAGGTTACCTCTGTCCTGCAACTATGTTCATGTCAGCTCTCGGCAAAGAATAGCCCAGCTAGTTTGCCCACACTGCCACACTTGTAGATATTTGCTGTGCTTTTTCTTTAGTGGACTATTCCATTCACTTTGCAGGTTTTGGAAAAATGCCTTGGTGTGCAGGTTATTTGAAACGTGGGTTCTTGTTGCCCCCAGAGGGTGACCAGTCTTTCAATGGAAAACTAGCTAAATGTTTGAAATGGAGTAAAATGCAAGGCTATGGAGAAAATGCCAGACTCTGTGGGATTAATTTTCCATTGCTTGACCAAACAGCTAGCATGGCACAATGAGCTAATTGCTTTTCGCACACAAGGAGGGTAACAACATTTCTGGTTAAATGCATGATATGCCCATATGAATGGTTATGGAATGACTATAAACTAATGTGTTTTTTCAGTCAAAGGGCTCCCAAGCCATGGGTTTAACTGCCTTAACAATACTGGCTGACAATTGTCAATGTTCTTAATCTGCCCAGGGGTGTTACGGCACACCTCTAGGGCAGGTGTCATTTGAACCCAGGCCCTCTGGCTTAGAGGTAGGGACACTACCACTGAGTCACACGACACCTCTCCCCTCCTCCACAGGTTACACCCTAGATTGATATAGTAGCTTTAGTCAACGTGTTCTAATGTGTTAGACAAGGTCCAGGGCAAGTGGATCTCAAACCTGGGGCCCCTACCCTAGAGATAGGGACTCTACCACTGTGCCAGAAAATGTTGACTAAAAATATAATGAACTACCTAGTCAGATAATAATGACACATTGTCTGGGGCAGGTGGGAATTGAACCTAGACCTTCTGGGCTAGAGGCAGATATGCTACCATTTTGATGCTTAGACTACTGCTAATGAGTCTCATGAACTTGCACATTGGAGATCTACTAATGAGCATTATTAAGAGTCCCTTGTTCCTATTGACAAATCGTTCATGAACTCAATGTACCTGAATTAAACACCTGCCTTACCGGGCAAGTGGTTTACAGCAGGTAAGGAGTGTACCTGCTACTTGAGTAGACGTTGTCGGAATTTGTATAGACACTGCATCGCTGCAGTACAATGTTCATAATCATTAAGATTCACAGTGTACTTCATTTTTTTTTTAATTTCCTTTTTGTGTTTTAATATTACAGGGCTTGATAAATATATTGCTGGAACGAGAAAAGGCTTTGGTAAGTTAGATTTAATTTTAATGACTTTGAATTTTTAATATGCCCAAATAGGTGTCCAGTCAAGCTTAATTTCTTCGGTTTTCTGCAAGAAAACATCAACATTTAAACTCCCAATGCAACCAGCTGTTGCTCCCTGTTTTCCCAGTCTTGTTTCTGTTTAGCTTTTGACCTGTGAAGAGTCATGACCTTCTGTAGTTGAATGGAGGAAATTTGGAGCTTTTCCTGCATGTCTGACCATTTAACCGCAGTCATAGACATGATGGAACCCAATCTTAAATATCCAGGGATCCAATGCTTGCAAAGGATCTGCACCCACTGACCAAGAGGTTTGCTATACCAATATTGCTTGACCTGCTGAATGCTCCCGGTAATTTTATTTTTCTAATTTTCAGCTATGTCATATTAAAAATACTGCAGATACCACACTTCCTGTTGATTTTTGAAAACCTTGCTTTGGCTTGACTGTTTTTCTCATAAATTGATAAACTAGCCATATCAGCAGACACCTAGAGGCTTGGATGTGAGGGAGTAACCTAACTGAATTAAGAGTTAATACATCGATTTGTTTGTGGAGGTCAGTACAGATTAATCTATATTGGGAAAGACGTAAAACGGTACAGCTGAACAAGTCTGGGCCTGCTCTTCTCACGTTGTGAATGTCTTCCTTTCAAATATTTAACTAGTTGCCTTTTGATTGTAACTATTAAATCTGCCTCCTTATATCCTTTCAGCAAAGCATTCTCAAAGACAGTTTAATTTCAAATCATAGGTTTTGCTCCTTGTTAAACAGTTTATTGTTTTATTTTACCAGCTATCCCAGGGAAAGGGTTTCATCCCAATTTCACTTGTGGGACCATTACACATCATGAATTGGTTGGACCAGTACCATAACCATTGTCAGAAGATTCTTCACCATATAAAGTGAGTTGGCATTTGGTCTATAGAATGCATTTCCAAGCTGAATTTTTGGGGGTGTGTAGTGGTAGTGGGCAAGGACAGAGGTAAAGCTGATTTCCCCCAAGTGGGAGCAAATACCTTTTGTGAAATATTGAGTGTTTGTAATTCTTCTGAAATTACAATGAAAGGATATTTTGACAATGTCATGTGGACCCTTTGAGTTACAAATGGGGGTGTCACCCCTCTGTGTAGGTTCCTCCTACTGTTTAGGTCTATTTTCTCTTTAAAGGAATCTTCTCTGAATAATTTATGAAGTTGAGCTTTTAGTTAATTTGTGATGTTTTATACTCCTTTATTTGTCCCTTTATTTTTTCAATCCTGAAAGTATCCTGTGTTAAAGGTTTATCAGTAAAGATGTTTAATTTGTCTGCCTTCCAGGGTTATCATCTCTTGGTTTCGAATGGTAGTCATGCACTTAATGTCTTTGCTATTGTTATCAATTAAATGGTTCCAATATTGCTCCTGTAATTAGCATCTTAAGTGCATGACCAAGTGTGATATTGTCTTTCCTGGTCTATGCTGAGCACTAAATTATTTATTAGCATATGGCCTCTTGGGCACATCCACTTCTTGCTCGTTGTTATGGAGATTTTCATGGCTAACTGCTATGTGGGCTCTATCTAATTAATTAAATCATTTTCTCAACGTAAACCTATACTTCTAACCAGATATGGTTAGTATGTCATAAAATGTCCCCACAGCTTGATTTTAATAATGGGTCTTTTGTAATGCAGCTGACGTGTCCCTGTTTCTGGCTAGGATGTCTCCAGTTCAAGAACAAAAAACAAAGTTGCTGGAAAAGCTCAGCAGGTCTGGCAGCATCTGTGAAGGAGGAAAGAGTTAACTTTTCGGGTCTGGTGATCTTTCCTCAGAACTGATGGTGGCTGGGAAAACGTCAGTTTATATGCAGAAAAAAAGGGAAGGGGATGGGGTAGGGAGCAAACGATAGGATAGAGCCTAAAGAGAGAGAAGAGCAGTTGGACAGACAAAGAGCTGATAACAATCAGGTTGGGAGGGTGAATAGTTGTTAATGGGGACTATTAGTGACTAATAATAGGTGGTGTGTGGGGTTGGGGGCTGTGACATGGGAGAGTGTAGGCCCTAAAATTATTGAACTTGATATTGAGTCTGGAGGGCTGCAGGGTCCCCAAGCGGAAAATGGTATTGTTCTTCCAGCTTGCATTGAGCTTGGCTAGAACACTGCAGCAAGCCAGAGACAGACAACAGCTTCTCAGGAAGGGTCACTGGACCCGAAACATTAACTCTGTTTTTTCCTTCACAGATGCTGCCAGACCTGCTGAGCTTTTCTAGCAACTTCTGTTTTTGTTCCTAATTTACAGCATCCGCAGTTCTTTCGGTTTTTATTTAGTGTCTCCAATTCAAATCACACTCTGTCCTCCAAAGAACACTTCTATAAACATGGGAGTTTCTTTTAAAATCACATCACGTTCTGTCTCCTGGCTCGGCAGTATTTTGCCATGGACTCTCTTGTTAGGGAACAAACGTTCTTCGGACGTAAATGTGCAAGCTTTGAGGAATGAGTTTTTTTTTGTTCCAAGAGTTATGATCCCAGGTGATAGTAAGATTGGATAGTTAGGATGCCATAATAAATCCTGGCTTGATGGATCATGTCTGATTTTTGCTGCATTTTATCATGATGTAAACATTCTCTCAAGGTTGCAGAATTGTCTTTAACAATAGGATGTAACATTTTTTTACACAACATAATTCTACAGAATTTAGAATGATAGGAACATTAAATAGCAAAAGGTTTTTTAAACCCTGTTTTCCCAGACTATCTTCTCAGATTTTCAATCCCAGAGAACTGTCACCTCTATCTCCATTCTTTTTGGTGTTTTGTTTTAAAATTTAACTGACTCCAGTTTCATTCCTTCCGAGACAGTTATGCAATTCCTTTTGAGTTTGCTGCATGGAATTTTTTTTTAGGCTGTTTAAAACTTTCAATTTGAACATTTCAAGTCCTACATAAATTCTGTTGGCTTGGAAGCTTCACAAGCTAAATGAATTTCTGCAGGGGTGACTGGTTCGCCAAACTGAGAGTTTGGTTCTCCTGCTCTAAGGAAACCGTGCTGTCTTCTGAGGTGAACTCCTGATTCTGCTGAACTGAAGCCTAAAACTAAACTAAAGGCCTTGGGTGTGTAAACTCAGGAGTAAAAACATTGTTAACACCACAGGAGTTCTGGTAGGCAGTTAACTGAAATTGCATTGCGTGCCTATTTAAATAATGTGGAAGGTATTCATTTAGCAGTAAAGTCTATTCCTTTTATGGACAAACTTGACTGATGTTGTGAATTAAATGAAACCTGTTTAAGTTTAATAAGAATTCTAGAGGTATATTAAACAGTTTGTACAGAAGGAAGACATAATTAACTATGCGTACATTACCCCTCATGGGAACAGAAGTACAGTTTCACCAGTTGTGTTGTGTTCTCTCTGACTATTCTGAGAACCTTTATTGTGCTACCAATTTTATAAGTGGTGCAAATGAGAATTTGGAACGGCTCTCGGGATACGGGTCTCTGGTTACATGGATAGTTTGGAGAAGCTTGAATTGTTATCCTCCTTGGCAAACCAAATGTTTCAGAAGAATTTTGATGTAATTCATAAAAATCATTTGAGGCATAAACAAAGATGAGGGGATGATAAAATTTCTCTTGTGCAAAATGATGAGAACCTGAGCTGCTGGGGCCAAGGAATCGGAGGAAATGCTTTTTCACGCAATGACTGGCTAGGATCTAGAATGCACTGCCTGAGAGTGGGGAAGGCAAGTAAAACTGGATTCACGAGGGCTAAATTACCTGAAGCAGAAAGCTTTGCCGAGCTGTGGAGAATAGTCAAGTGATAGTGGAACTCTCTGTAGAATGACTGACTGCAACAACACAGCAATAAGCGGCGTCCCTCTATGCTGTAGCCATTCTGTATCCTGGTTACACATTATTAACTAATAATGGTCACTGGATGTTTGGGCTTCAGTTCTATGAAGTCATTGTTAGCTTGTAGTAATATCCCCTCTGTTTGACCTTCTGTGTGAGAGTAATCTGTTAAAATAGCCTATTTCCATGCAGTATGATCCAATTAAAGATATGCATATAAACATCATCCATACAATTCAGGATTGACAGCAGATAATTATAGGATGCAAAAGACTTCACTCATAATTAAGATCCAAGTTAGCCCCCACTTAGTGTCTTGAGGTCCCAGTTAAAGAAAGGATGTGTTTTTATTCTTGTGACATTTCTGTTAATTATCCATTCTTAGCTTTATTCAAGTGATAGTGTATGCTCATTGAATTCAATGCTCTATTACTAGCAAATGTCCATCCTCAATACGCGAGACCTTGTGTGAAGATAAAGGGTGTTTTCTGTTTGAACCATCTATATCCCGTGCTCAAAGTCTTTATCAACTGCCTAGTTTTTAACAACTGTTGTAGTGATAAATAGATGGGAATGATATCTTCACTGAGAAGATGATAAGAACCTGTTGTGGTTTGTTGGAATTCTGGCTGGCCGTAGGTGTTACATAAACGTTATAACAAAACATGAATGGTCTTCGCTGGGATGTGAGTGTTGCAAGCAACACCAGCATTTGTTGCTTATCCTTAGCTGCCATTTGACAGCAGTTAAGAATCAGCTACAGTGCTGTGGGTGTCAGGTAACACAGGCCACTGATAAGTATCAAAACAAATTTGTTGCAAAATCTCTGCAGGTCTGGCAGTATCTGTGGAGAGAAATCCAAGTTAACATTTTGGGTCCAGTGACCCTTCCTCAGAACTGGTAAGTATGGTAGATTTCCTTCCTTCTGTGAGTCAGGTGGGATTTTATGACAATCAGCTGTTTTGTGGTCGCTGCTCTTTTATTCCAGATCTCTGGAGTTCAAGTGGATTTAAATTCCGCCAATGGGATGTGATCCTCTGTTCCCACAGCATTAGCCTGGGAATCTGGATGACTCACTGTGACATTACCGTTCGGGCACGCTGTCTCCCTGACACCCCTGTCTCACTTACAGCAATAACATGATGTTCAGTTGGCACCTTGTTTCTAAGCTGAAGTGATTGGTTAGCAACACTTTTTTTTTTGTAGTGCTGGAGTGATTTTGTTTCAGTAGATGGGTTCTTTAAATTTTTAATGGAGCTGTCTTGTGCATTGCCTGCTCTGAAACTTGTGGGTGACTACACAGTTTAGAAGAGACATCGATCAAATTAAAGTTGGGGTTGTGCTGCTGGTGGTCACTTCAGTTTCCCTTTTGATGCATTTGAGACAGACCCGATACCAATCTGGAATGCTGAATTTCCTGTTGTAGGATTCTGACGGCAATTTTCAATAATTAACAAATGCTGTGAGAGCTCACCCACTTGCACCAGGTGAGGTGTATCTGAACCAGGAGACAATTGCTTGGGAATATTTTAACAATCTTTGCAGTGCACATCAGGAGCAAAAATACTCCAGTTGGGCTCAAGATATAGATCTGACCAGCTCCCAGTCTATTTAGGAACTCCTCTGGGAGCACTCTGAAGGAGAGTGGGATGGAAACCTGGAATTGCCCCCAACAGGGGGCAGAGGGTACTGAATTGTGTGAAATTTGAGAACTGGGTTGCGAGGAACACTCCCTAGAGGCGGGGGAATGAATGGTGATTGGAGAGGAGGTACGAACCAGCCGTGATCTACTTGAATGGCTGAACAGTTTCTAGGAGCTGAATGGCCTCCCTCTGAGGGGGACAGTCTTGATGGTGGATGTTTGTATTAACTGGACCCACTCTGATATCTCCCCTCCTTCCTATTTCAGTGTTATTTCCGCTCGGCATTTCATGGAAGGTGCTGATGTTAGCAAGTTGATCACTCAAGAACGCATGCAGACTTTGTTGCAGGAACTTGAACTGGAAAAGGTAACGGTGCTTATTAATCTGGTTTATCTGTTGGGTTTAATTCTTCGATTTGGTGAAGGCAAAAGGTGTAATTACTTGAATTATTGTTGAAGGGCACAATGCATTTGAGCAGAGTGAAGTGTGCGCACGCGCTGAGTCTTGTGGAATGAAGTGGTGTGCAAGTGAAGTGAGAGATGTGGATTTGATCTGGAGTCGAGGAAATTTTCTCTATCTCTGGCAGAGAGGGTGTGCGTCCTTCCCAACTCTTTCTGCTGTGATGTGAGCTGAAGCGGGTGCCACCGCTGGAGGTGATTTTGGTCTTCAGGAGACCAAAATGAGCGACCTTAAGGCCAGCGTGGTTTCCACCTTGTTCCATTTGGTTTTACATATTTTGACTGGAAAATGAGTTGTGCTGCATTAGAGCAGATTGCCACTGTTGGGCTCCTGAAGACCAATTCTCCACCGTAGCTGAAGAAAGTGTTCCTCTTTCCCCCTCCAATGCTTTCTAACCTCTTGTCAAAGAAGTTTAGAGATGAAAAGTACATTTGGGGATGATGGTTAGAGCCTGGATAAGGATAAAGCCAACAACACTTGGGCTTTGACACCATCTAGAACAAAGCAGCCCACTTGATTTGCACCACATCCATAAACAGAGACCCTCCATCATCGATGCTCACTAGCAGCAGTGTGTATCAACAAGAAGCACTGCAGAATTTCACCATGGCTCTCTAGTTTGCCCCTTCCAAGCTTAAAGACCGCTACCATCTAGAAGGACAAAGGGAACAGATACATGGAAATCCCATTGCCTGCCAGTTCCCCTACACAGCAGTTGTCATTCTGACTTGGAAATTATATTGCCATTCCTACACTCTCTTGCTGCTTCAAAATCTGGGAACTCCCTCCCAAACGGCATTGTGGGTCTACCTACAGCACATGGACTGCAGTAGTTCAAGAAGGCCATGCTAAATTGCCTGTAGTGTTCAAGGATGTATAGGTTAGGGGAATGTGTCTGGGTGGGATGCTCTGAGGGTCAATCTGGACATGTTGGGCCGAAGGGCCTGTTTCCACACTGTAGGGATTCTATGATCTAAGGCAGCCCACCACCACCACCTGAAGGGCAACCAGGGATGGGTAATAAATGGTGGCCCTGGCAGCAACCATCCACAGTCCATGAATGAATTTTTTTTCTTTCTTAAAAAAAAAAGAAGCTTGTTTATTTGCTATCCTTGGAGATGGTGTTTTTTTTTCTTTTCTGTACTTATGACTGATCTTAAGACTTAGTGGGAATATCTGTTCCCGAGCACCACCTAATACCGGACACTGTGTTGAGTTGAAGACTGAAGTAAGGTCACTTCCCCTTCGTTGGCTAATCAGTATCACGAGCAGTTTCGAGGTGAAAGGAAAAATACTACATGTTGACTTGGTAAAACTCTTGTCATAGGTGCTAAAACACTCAGTGGGTCACTCAGTATCTGCAAATTAGAAAAAAAATCCTGGTTAGAGCTGAATGGAGGGATTTGGAGAGGAGCAGCTCATCTCATTCTTTTCTCTCTCTCTTAACATGTGGCTTGTGTTGGTGACAGTTCCATACCTGTATCGTGCGACATTGCAGGAATGCCTTCGGCTGTGCTCTTCAACACAAGTCAGGCTGGAAAATCGTTTATTCGGGGGATACCATGCCATGTTCAGCTCTTGTTCAGACAGGTCAGTTTAAGATGGACTCTGGCTGATGTTAAAGTGAAGTCAATCACTGTTCTAACCTCTCCAATGTTTTACTGACAGGAGCATGAGACCAGCCATGAGCCATTCAGCTTCTCAACTTTGCAGCTTTCAGTGACATTGCTCTATATCTTAGTTCCACGTCCTTTGGTATCCACCTAGCCAGATTCCCAGATCAGATTTGAAATAATTTGATTCAGTTAACATCCCCATCTTTTTGTAGGACAGTTCTGCATTTCAGCCACCATTCTGAATGACTTGTTTCCTGACCCCTCTCGAGTGGCCCGATCAGGTTTTAATGTCCTGTTACCCTTGCCCTAGATTCCTCACCAGCAACAATAGCCCTTCTTCTCTCTTACTCCTTTTTACCCCCTTCAGCTGCCCCAATATCAATTCCTTCAAGTCCTAACAGACTGGGTTAAATCATCCATTTACCTTTATTCCAGGAAATGTGTTCCTGATTTGTAATCTCCTCATAATCTAACACTTGAAGCCCTGATAGCCTTGTGGTAAAAGAGGGCTTGTTATATATTGTTTGTTTGGATATCTTTTTTTTTTCTTGAAGCTATTCCTTTTGATTTGATGTGATCCTTTTGTGTAGATTACAACTGGTCCCTACTGAGTGCCAAGTAATTAAGATATTATGAAATCTGATGGGTGGTTAGCTTTTAGTTAATAAAAGAGGCAGACTTTAATTGTTTGTTTTTGAGGCTCACGTGCCCTTGTGAGCTCTCTGCTTCTGGCCAGTGAAAGTAATCAGGCCTTTCCTCCTCTTCCTTCTCCTCTAAGATTGTGTTCATCCACTGCAGGACAGAGCCCCCACACTGACAACAAACCCAACTACGGAGGAATCTCTCCTGCCATAGGTGCATTAAAATGATTTATCTTTCACTTCCTAAAAAGAATAAGAGCAATGATCAGCAAATTGATTACCAGCCACAACATCTAAATGTTTCATGTAAAATACATCTGGACACAGTTTCTCCATTGACTGTCCCCTTCATGGTTCACTAATCCTGCCTAATGATTTCAAAACTCTAGGGCACAACACGCTATTTGTTTTTATTTTGCTGCCTTTTTTTGAATTTATCAGTCTGCTGACTTCAGTAATACTGAAACAGTAAAGTGACCATATTTTGTCTTGTCTGTCTGTGGCAGCATTTTGTGGCAATTTAATTTATTTTTTTCTTTGCATCTTTAACCGTTGTCAAATCTAGATTTCTTTTCAGCACTCATTCCTGAAAATCTCACAGTTTGGTTTCAAGGCCCATTATTTCCTCATTGTGCCTTCCGTTACTTAATGTTTTCTCATTTCTGCTCTATTTCCCAAAATTCAGCTCATGTTTATGCACTGCCTTGCTGAAGATGTACTGCTACAGTCTCTTAAAGTGAAATGAGTGATGGTTTGGTCACATGATATCTTGTGCCACTGATGAGTCTCTCAGGCAGGAATGCTAACTCGCTCTGTTTGACCCTCCCTAATCTCTGATTAATGCAATTCCTTTTGAGATATTTAAGCTATTTGAAGAACTCTTGAGTTTTCCATTAAACCCCTAATTGGTTTCATGCACTTTCTCAAAGCACTATTGAAATAGCTTTATGTACTTTGACCAGCATCCCAACCTCCTACGGTTCCTGCAGTATAGGTCGTTTCATTGAATTCCAGTTGTTTTAGAAGGTACTTGAGAGCTCATTAATGAGTTTGGAGCACTTCTGATGCTGGGAATCTGGGCACAACTTGAATATTGATTTACATGTCTTTTGGACCAGTAGAATAGCATTTGGCCCATTGAGCCTGTTTTAATTTTCTTGCCTGACTCCATAACCCGTGAATCACCTCTTAATTAAATATGAACCCTGGCCTTGAATATATTCAATGTCCCAACCTCCATTACTCTTGGCAGTAAAGGAACCCAAGGACTAATGACCCTCAGAAAGAAGAAATTGCTCTTCATCTCCATCTCAAAGGGGAACTCCTTTTTGTTGTTCCTGTTGGTTCTGGATTTTTTTTTTCCCCTTGACAAGGGGAACATCCTTTCAGCCATGTATAATGTCAAATTTCCTCAGGAATGTAGGTTTCAATAAGGTCACCTCTCATTCTTTAACTCTGAATGTAGACCCACGCTTTTCAAAGCTTTCTCCTTGGAGCCACTTTGAAGTTGGAAGAAGGCCACAAATTTGAAACTCAATGCTTTGTTTGAACAGGGCAGAATGCGAATCTCCTGATTCATGAAGCTACACTGGAAGATGGGCTGGAGGAAGAAGCTGTTGAGAAAACTCACAGGTAAGCAAGGATCCTGAGGATTGGAGCATTGGTTTACTTTGCAAATCACCTGGGAATGTTCCAGAAAATTGCCAGACCTACACAAACAATCCCACGAGTTTTCTGCGATTGACTATCCTTCCTCTTTTCTGGTAATTTGAGCAATGTTATTGTGGAAGAGAGGCCAGGAAAACTGAAACCGCCATTTGTTTAATTCTTGATTCCAGGCTTTATTGGATTCACATTTCGGGATCTGGTGGGATTTGAACCATGTCCCCAGAATATTAGCTTGAGTTTCTGGATTAATAACCTAGTGATGTTACCTCTACACCAATAGCTTTCTGGTTGTCCACTGCTGTGTATTTGTGGTTCCTGAAGGTGTCACGGTGGGTTTATTAATGGAAGGGATGCCTGTGGGGGAAAAGTACTCACTAACCATATTCCCTTGCCTTTAGTTGGGCAGAAGGATGAAGGAGGTGAGAAATGTTGTTCGTGGCTTAATTATAGAAAAGATAGTGTGGTCTCACTTCAAGGTTAAGTGTTTTGGACTCCCTGCTAAACTCTGTTCTTAAAGAGACATGATTTTACGAATCATGAATGGGTGAAGAGACTATTTAACATTCATCTCGGAATTATACAGACTCTGAAATATGCATGTGTTCGGCTAAAAATAAGTAGATTCATTTGCCAAGAAACGATCAGTGTCTTGATGTATTTACACTGGGTTGGCACTACTCAATTTTTTTTTTTCTAAGATCTCCTCCTGACGACTGTTGCAGAAAACAGGTCACGGACTGTATTGTCCAACAGGGAACAAATATAGCTGCAGCCATGGTGGGGTTAAAATTCGACCCGAAACGTCAGCTTTCCTGCTCCTCTGATGCTGCTTAGCCTGATGTGTTCATCCAGCTCTACACCTTGTTATTGCAGCCATGGTGGATTGGGCATGATTTCTTTAATGCAGGGAATCTTGATGTAAAGTTGAAGGGGCCGATTGACCTGTTTAGGTCAGGGTCCCTATGATGGGGAAAGTGGAATTCACCACACCACTCTGTCTTGGCAACTGGACAGTGCTTTCTCCGAGAGTTGATTTTTAACATCTAATTAAAGATAATTGGAAGTCAAAATAGGAGGTTCTGCGCCTTGAAGGGAAACCAAGCCGATAGTTCAGGCGGGGGAGAGGGAGCATTCTGGTTTTTCTTCGGCCACTCCAATTTAAGTATTAGATTAGAAACCGGTCTACAGAAGTGTTAGGAAGGCAAATGCCTCAGAACAGCCTGTAGCAAGGTAGGCTTGAAGTTTCTCCTGCAGCCCTAGTTACCTCATCTGTGAAGGCTGAAGGCCCAGTAAAAGACTGACCTTGGGCCTGGCTACCTGCCTACCTGCCTACCCCTGTGCTCACCTTAGCACCCACTCAGCCACCAGCCCACCCTAATCATTGCCAGAGCAATTGACATGAGAAGGAAGAGCCCCTCACGTACTCGCACTGTCTCCAGCTTTCTCTTGGATTCTTCTCCTTGTCATTTTGATCTGGGGATCTGAAGCTTCTAGCTACTTTGATTTATTTTGATTTCCCTTGTTTCCTCGAGTGTTTCAGACCGTGGAGCAATGCGAGTGAACATGCTGCTTTTAATTAAGTTCACTTGCAATTAAACTACCCTGTAGACTCTTTCAATAATGCTGTGATTGAGTAATTTTATAAACTATGCCTCAATGTAGAATATTTTAATTTGCAGCTTTTCACTCTTCATTTAACCCCTCAGTCTCATTCTCTCCAGTACAAGTATCCCACATACTTGAATATTAATGATTTACAGGACAAGTGATTTCTCACTGATTTGTTAGAAACTGGCATTTTTAATTCACTTCATTGCCTATGTCAGGACGCGTTCCAATCGCATTTCCTGTTATTCCTGGCAGCTGGTATTCTGCCAGACTCCTGTTTTAATCCTTTTGTCTGCTCTTGTTTGTTTCAGCACCACCTCACAAGCTATCAATGTTGGTATGCAGATGAATGCCAAATTCATCATGTTAAATCACTTCAGTCAGAGATATGCAAAGATTCCCCTATTCAGTGCTGACTTCAATGACAAAGTTGGAATAGCTTTTGATCATATGAGGGTAAGTGTGTTTGTTTGTGTGTGCCCGGACTGAATTCAGTTTGGTTATGTTTAGTAAAACACTGACAGTCTGAAAGTGGGCATGTAACTATTCTGCTCCTTCACTTGGTGTGCTGACTTGTCAGAGCCTCTTTCAGCTGTGTAATCCTCCTAGAACAGGCAAAAATTGGAGAGGGAGAGCTCCTGCGGCGTGTGAAGGGAAAATCTGAATATTTCCTATCTAACTCTGTACAGGACAGTCTGAATTGCTCTGCAGCGAGCTGGCAGTAATTAGATGGGCTGAATGACCTCCTCCTCCTGACCTGTCACTTATTGTGGTCCTTCAGACCAGTTCAGTAGCTATCATTATTACTTGCTGTAATTATAAAAGACACTGCAATGTGATTGATTTTAATGTTTGTTTCAATTATTTCCATGCCGCAATTAGATGACCATGACTTTTATGTTTGGCGGGGAGGTGGAGAAGAGGAGAAATCTTGAGGCTTTGAGGTAGAGGCCACATTGCAGATGGGCACAGACTCTACCTTGAATCTTCTAGAGAACAACAGCTTTCCCTCTTTATATTTTTGCATTGAGGCCTCCATGCATTGTCCACCATTGACTACTTGACTAATCAAAAAATCACTTCTGCACAGGTTCGGTTTGATGATTTTGGGGCCATTCCCAAGCTCACCCCACCCCTGCAAGCCCTTTTTGCGGAAGAGATTGAAGAGATGGAGGAACGCCGTGAGAAGAGAGAGCTCCGGCAACTGAAGGAAGCCCAGAATTCTTTGAGTACAAACGGGCCTGTGGCCCAGGGACCATCGTCCACTGTGACCATCAATGAAGCAGTCACCAAAAAGAAACGAGCAGTTGAAGAACCTGATCAAGATCTGGACAACAAAAAAATAAAACTAACTTGATGCTATTCGAAAATAATGATTTGAAAGACTTGGTTCATTACCCTGGAAGGAGAGTGTACAGGAAAGCAGTGTGCAATGAACTTGAACTGATTTTATTTTGTTGCATAACTGAGTTTTGTGTATAGGTTTTACCAATAGGGTAACAATGACCGTGGTTTGCAGTAATTAGGTTATATTTTGGTTTCTAACTGGTACAGCAATTTGAGTTGCAAGCCCAATCATCCACATGCCTTTGACTCCTACCTTGACCCTCTTTTTGGAAAGTGACTTCTCAAGCAACTGCAAACATCCTGTATTCTTCCTCGATCCAAAGGAGGATGACAGATAATCCAAATAATTATCTTGTATTTTGGTTTGAGAACCAGATGGCTAAAATCAGATTTTGAAATGTTCTGTTTTTTTTTTTAAAAAATGTCTCTTATTTGCTCATCCCATCTTTTTACTTAAGTGATTTACTCAAATGCTGCTGTCCCTGTTGACTTCCAGCTTCAGCTGCATACCTGGTTTTTGATTTGATTTTATTATTGTCACATGTACCTAGCTACAGTGAAAAGTTTTTTTGTTTTGTGTGCAGTATAGGCAGATTATACCATTCAAAGTGCATACGAGAAATAGAACAGCAAGGGATACCATGTTACGGCTACAGAGAAGGTACACAGAGCGAGGTCAAGATTAAATTTGAGAGATCCTTTCAGAAGCCTAATAACAAAGGGGAAGAAGCTGTTCTTGAATCTGGTCTGTGTTTTTAAGCTTGTGTATTTTCTCCCCTCTGTCAGCGCTGCAAAGCAGCGATGACAATCTACAATAGGCAACCCAACACTGAATTCACTTGCCATCTGACTGTTCCTTCCCTTAAAATCTCTGCCGTGTTGAGTGTGCCTTCAAAAGTAATTTGCTGCATTTCTCAGCTACTCCCTATTTCATTGGAGAGGACAGAGAAAGTCCTGTCCTTTTACTGTAACCGGAAAAGTGTGCATCCATCTCTGGGAATGTAATGATGAGCAAAAGTTATTTTGAACGTCTGCAGAATGGATCACAAGTAGCCTTTGATTTAAAAATTTTGAAACCAGAGTTGAGAATGAATAATAAAACCTATCCAATTTGTGATGCTGTACTAGGATGTTATACTTCAGCTTACCAATTATTTTTGATAAATTATTTCCATGTTACTGTAGATGGTGAAATGTGCACGGAAGCTAAAAATTCTCATTCCTTTTTCAGGCTTAAGATTTACATTGATTTTGTCGTTTTTTTTAACTGTTACTGTTTCAAATTTTATAATGTGGTGTTTTAATTTTGCATTGAGGAATTTGTTTTTCGAAGTGGAGATTTTAAAGTATCTCTCTGAAGTAAATGGTGAATTCTTAATCCAATTGAAGTCAGTGATGAACACCATAATGGCACTGGGTAATGTGAGGGAACTGTTTGTTTGTTTGTTTGTTTGTTTGTTTATCCTTTTTACTAGCTTTTGGGGCACTTTTCCCAACCAATGGAATTGCCGTTCATTATCCACCCCAGAGCTGGAATACTGGGAGCAGTTTTGGTCCTGTTCATCTAAAGAAATATATACTGGCATTGGAGGCAGTCCAGAGAAGATTCACCAGGTTAATCCTGGGCATGGTGGCATTGCCTAATGAGATGAGGTTGAGTAGCTCGGGCTGTACTCCTTGGAGTTTAGAAGAATGAGAGGTGACCTTTATTGAAACATAGAAGAATCTTCAATGACGGGCTCAATGCGGAAAGGTTGCTTCCCCTTGAGAGTCTAGGATCTGCGTGCATAATCTCAGAATAAAGAAGTCACATGTTTAAGACAAGTGAGGTGGAATTTCTTGGGGTAGTGAAACTATTTCTTTCGAGTCAGATTTTTTTCACCAGGTGAGGGAAACAAGGCTTCTCGGGAAAAGGCAGGAAAGTGGAGTCAAGGATGATCTAATTGAATGATGCAGCAGTTTTGATGGCCTGAATGGACTACTTCTGCAACTGTGTATTCTGATCCTCTCTAAGGGAGAAATGCTGGCACTGTCATTGTGCTAATAATTGTGGTGACTAGTCTAACCCTCTGGGGACACCACTGGTTGAAACCTTACCATGGCAGCTGTTGGAACTTTCCCACATTTAATAAATCAGATGTAAAAGCTAGTCTCAGCAATTGTGCCATGAGACTGTTGATAGTCATTAAAAACCCATCTGGTTTGGTCATGTGCTTTTCTTAAGGATGACGTATCCTTCCCTAACCTGGTCTGACCATGTGACTGCAGGCCCACACCAATACAGTTGCCTCATCACTGGCCTCATGGCCAATTAGCTCTTTGGTTCAAGGGCAGTTACAAATGTGCAGCTAATGCTGGCCAGTGGTGCCTGTATCCTGTGGAAAAATAACGGCAAAGAACGATCATCTTATTCTATTTTATGTAGCTTCCATAACAGTTTAAAATGGGGAGGAGAAATTTTATTCTAACAATAAACTGAACACAGTGCACAGAGGCCTTTTCTCATTTTATGCATGTGCAAAATGTGACTTTTCAATCTCCTTGATTTTAAATAATTTGCATGAGGAACTACAAATGTTGCAGTCAGCCTATCGTTATGTGAATGTAAATGAAAAGATAAATTTATCAGCTGACGTTTGTTAGTAGCAATGTTATCTTGGTATACTGGAACACTGTCAAGAGTCTTAAAAACCTTAATTCTGGTTTAATTGGTCTCAAACGGAACAATTAAGTGTCAGCCATGAGATGACATTGAACTCTTGCACTGTTTTCTCCTCCAAGCCCACTTCTTTGGACAAGTCCTCTCTCTGTTCCACAGACCCCTTCGCCCAGTTCCAACACACTCTCTTCCCTCCACCTGGTCCCCTCCTTCTGACCTTTTTTTACCTGTACTTAATCTGTTCATTGAGAGCTGTCACTATAACATTGGTCATCTCATTTTCTCTGCCCCCCTCACCCAATCCAACCCATCTCCTTCTCAACTGACTGCACTCCGTGCGCTTAGATCCAACCCTGACTTTATTAACCATCCGATAAGTGGTGGTGCTGTTGTAGTCTGGTATGCTGACTTCTACAATGCAGAGGCTAAGCACCAATTCTGTCATATCTCCTTATCTTCCCCTGGACCATTGTATCAACTATAGTAACTGAACTCATTTCATCTGGTGATCTCACTGCGCCCACCCCCGGCACTGCCTCCAAGCTGATAGTTGTACAGCTCGCTGCTACCCCATTCAAAAAAAATCCACAAATAGGACTGCCCCGGGCAGACCCGTTGTGGGGCAGGAGCAGACTGAAACAGAACTGATGTCTTCCTATCTTGACCAGATCTTATCTCCCAGGTCCACTCCCTGCTCATGTACATCCGTGATTCCTCTGACTCTTTACGCCAGTTTCAGAACTTCCAGTTTGCAGGGTCCAGCCGCCTCCTCTTCACCATGGATGTGCAATACCTTTACACTTCCATTTCCCCACCAGGATGGTCTCAGGGCTCTCTGCTTCTTCCTGGAGCAAAGGCCTGAATTGTCCCCACCCACAACCATCCTCCTCCGCTTGGCTGAGTTTGTCCTCTCCCTCAACAACTTCTCTCTTAACTCCTCATTTTCATAAGGTCAGAGGGGTGGCCATGGGCCCCAGCTATCCCTGTCAGTTTGCGGGGTATGTGGAACACTTCTTGTTCCAGTCCTACTCCGGCCCCCACCCACAACTCTTTCTCTGATATCATTGGTGCTGCTTTCCCCCCTCATCCAGAACTGGAAAAGTTCATTTCGTGTCACGTCATTTCATGTCGTCGGCCCACCTCTGACATCTGTTGCCACGTCTGGGGATAGACTGATGACCAATATCCACTATAAACCCATTGACTTCCACAGCTACCTCAACTATATATCCTCGCACCTTACTTCGTGTAAAGACTCCATTCCATTCTCTCGGTTCTTCTGTCTCTGTCGCATATGTTCCGACAAGGGAGCCTCAGAAACGTCCACCTTCTTCCTTAACTAAGAACTCCCCAGCACCATTGTCGACAGAGCCCTCAACCGGGTCTGACCCATCTCCTGCACTTCCACTCTTACCCGCTCTCTTCCCTCCTGAAACAGCGATAGGGTTCCCCTTGTCCTTGCCTACCAACCCACCAGCATCCACATCTAGAAGATCATCAGATGCCATTTCCGCCACCACCAGACACATTCCCCTCCTTTCCCTTTATCCGTCTTTTGCAGGGACCATTCCTTCCAGGACACCCTGAGTCCCTCTCCCTTCACTCCCAACACACCCCGAGAGCCCCACAGCACCTTCCCCTGCAACTGCCAAAGATGTAACACCTGCCCATTTACCTCCTCCTTTCCCAGTATCCAAGGGCTCAAACATACCTTCCAGGTGAAGCAGCACTTCACCTGCACTTCCCACAATCTAGTCTACTGCATCCATGTTCTGCCTGCAGAAAAGACCCTGAGCTTCCAGTTGCCTGCCACTTTAAGACACTACCCTGTTCCCTGGCCAACATCTGTCTCAGGCTTACTGTAGTGTTCCAGGGAAGCTCAGTGCAAGCTGGAAGAACATCTCATTTTCCACTTGGGCACCTGCAGCCCTGTGGACTCTGTATAGAGTTCAGTAATTTTAGGGCCTGAACTCTTCCCATGTCCTAGCGTCCTAGTCTCCCTCCCCACACACCAAGCCTTGTTATCACATAGCCTGCCATTACACATTACCTATTATTAGTCACTAAAAGTCCCCATTAACAACTACTCCCCCTCCTAGCCAGATTGTTATCCACTCCTTTGCTCAACTGTTCTCTGTCTTTGGGCTCTATGCCCATCTATTCTTTACTCCTTACCTCCTCTTCCCCACCTTCTGCATATAAACCGACTTTTTCCTGGCTAACATCAGTTTTGAGGAAGGGTCACTGGATCTGAAATGTTAACTGACTATTTTTCCTTCACGGGCTCTGCAAGACCTGTGCTTTGCCAACAACTTTTTTTGTTTGAGAATAATTTAAAAGACTTGGTGTCACTAAGTTTTGGATCAATAATTTCAGCGCTGACAATATTACCTTCAAGCAAAAGTCTGGTGCTTGTTATTGGTCATATTCATCAAGTAGGTTGCTTGGTAGTAGATACGGTACCTCAGTCAAGGGAACTTATACAATCCCAAAGTTAGTTTATGTTCTTCTATCATGCCGTATTAAAACTAAGGTACAAATCGTTGAAAGTAGTCTATAAGTTGGGAGTAATATTTGTACAGCTTGAAATCTATCATTCAAAACCAGTGGTTTGGATGTAGGCCAATGATTAAGCTTCTAACAAAAAAACCCTAAACCCTGCTCCCAACCTGCATAAAAACAGAACAGGGATGGACAGATTAACTAGCACCAGGGGGTGAGTTGGCAATTTTCAGTATTTGAGTGAGCCTGGCAGCCTCTGTTTAACCTGCTTTGTAGCATTAACATTGGTGTGCAGGGTTTCTCGGACCAGAAAGCAATTCAGCAGCTTTTGATAAGAGGAGAGTGGCTTTACAGCGCTGCCTGTAGGTCAGGAGGATCATGAGTCCTTCCCCTCCCTTCACCACAGCATCAAAAGATTGAAGCAGGCCATATTTATTTTTCATTCTTTCCTGGGATATGCATGTTGCTGTCTATACCAACATTGGTTACCCATCTCCAATTGCTATCAAGTGGTTGAGCACCCACCGTGAAATTCTGCAGTTCATGTGGTTGAGGTGCAATTTTGATGTTAGGAAGAGGGTTCAGGATTTTGATGTAGTGACCATGAAGAAATGGTGATTTATACTGCGAAGTCCAGGGGTGTGAGGTTTGAGGGTAACTTGTAGGTGCTGGTGTTCATGTAAATATCTGCCCTTGTCCTAGGTAAATAGAGTTTAAGGGGTTGAAAGAAATGTTGTTTTGTCTCAAACCTACCTGCTCCTTTATTCTTTCCTCTCTGACTAAGAATCTGGCCTGTCAGTCAACCTGACGTTTGTTTGTTTGTTCTTTCTGAAACTGCTCTCTAGACCCAAGTATTTTAAAGATGACTACTGGAATGTGTGCATGAGTAAACCAATCTAAAATTTATAAGTTTTATTGCTTTTTGTTTGGGAAGTTGAAGGGAAATCTAAGGTATAAAATGATAAATGTGTAGGTTGGTAGTTTGCTTTTGGGGAATTCACTGGAATTTAGCTACTGGAAAAAGAATTCACTGGAATTTAGCTACTGGAAGTTGGTCCAATAATGAGAATTTTTGATGGCTATCTTTAACTTGACACAAGCTGTGGAATGTTGTAATGTTAAAATTTTGGTTGCGGTTTAAGGAAATATGCCACAGACAAAATGTTTAGTTTTAATTATTTTTAGTTGCAGAATATTTGATGTTTAGAGTCCTTTTGCTAACCTATTGCAAAGCATTGGCCATAAAACTGTCATTTTTATGCAGCCTTTAGGACTGTTTCTGTTAAGTGAATTTTGAAATCAAGTATTTGAACCTATTTTCCTTATACACCTGATGCCCACCCCTTTCCTGAATTATGAATCTGCTTGGTTTAAGTTGTCCATTCTTGCAAACTGCACTCATAACAAGGCATAGGATTACCACTTACACTTTCATGCATACACTTTTTATTATAATGATGTCTGTGAAAGATAAAACTACAAAGACTGAATGTCTGAAATAAATTAAAATTTGAGGAATGGTGGGTCACTAGCAGCTGAGACTGATAGTTCATTAAAAGTTTCTAAAACAACCAATGGCCATAGATAGTCCTTCATGTTTTACTGTGAAATTCTGCTTAGCAATTAACTGTAAAGGTTGTGAGGTGAACAAATTGGCCCCACAGTCTCTTGCAGTATCCTACGCCTGTCTGGAAGTGAAGCCGACTGAAGTCGGTGGGATTCCAGGTATGTAACCGGTTTAGAGGAAAAAGGCTTTGGAGTTCAGGTTCCAATGGGCTTTGGGAAAAAGTGTCTGAGAAACGTTGAGGGTTGACAGCACTATTACCAAATATGAAATGCGTTGAAGGTTGAGCGCAGAAAAATGAAGTCATGAGGGGACTTGAGAATTGAAGGTGATGAGGTGAGACCGCCAAGCGATTTCTAGTTGATAAACATGTTTTTGGCTCAGGTGGCTTTGTAAGGATGCTAGTGGAAGAATGCATAGAGTGATTGCTGGATAAGAAATACCTGCCTCCTGCCTTTGCTCCTGAGAAAAATCAGATCTACTCATTCAAGTGTGGAAGGGAAAGGAGATTGATTGATTGATTGATTGATTATGGCTGGACGGTTTTATTAAACCACCCTGTCGCTTGAAAGGAATTGGCTGAGATTGAGTTTTCTTTGCAGCATGTGGGCATCACTGACTTAGTAGTTCATTGCCATTTTCTCATTCCCCTTGTTCTCATACACTATAATGTGTCTTTCTACAATTTTATGTGGCTTTCAAGGTAATGGTGTAAAGATATACTTGATCCTAGCTTGGGTTTTCAGTGTTGTTTAGCTGATTTAGTAGTAGCATTTGGTCCCCTGTAGCCAATGTTGTGCATCTTCTAAAATGAAGACTATGGAGGTGTTTTTAAGTTTCTTTCACTAAGGTTCACTTAGAACTGCTTTCCTTGAGAGCAAATAATTACAAATATTTAACAAATGATTTCACTTTTGTTACATATTTTGTTACAGCAAATTATTGCAAAATATTGAACTCGATGGAATAAATCTTGCTGAAAAATAATGGTGTGTGAATACATTGTTCATGTGAAAGTCACTAACAAATTCAAGGAATTAAGGTAGGCTGTTGCAAATCTGGAGAACTTTCTGGCCAATTGTCATTCCATCACTTTCTTCCTTTGCTTGTTTAAACATCACCTTTGTGTATGAGTTCACTCCCAAACTTTGCTCACAATTGCAATTGTATCACCAAAGTTGAGCACTAGTTGACAATCTTTTAGTGAAGTCTGTTAGTGTTTACATAAGGTCATAGGGTCGGAGATATACAGCACAGAAACCGACCCTTCTGCCCAACTTGTCCTCAGGACTAGATCAATTTGAGATATCTAGTTGCTATTTACCAGCATTTGTCTGATATCCCTCTTAAACCCTTCCCATCATACACCTATCCAAATATCTTTTACTTGTTACTGTACCAGCCTTGACCACTTCCTCTGATAGTTCATTCCACACACGCACCACCCTCCATAGAAAAAGTT